GAATGCACTCGTTCAACGGTGGCGCTATCCGAACTGCTCACATGGGTTCGAGGAAACGGCGTCCGTCTCGTTGAGGTAAGCCATCGTAATACGAACGAAAAGGGAAGAATTTTGGTGCTCTATTTTCACCCAAAAACCCATATAACGTATCTTTCTAGTTGACCCACTCAATAATTTAGGAAGACTAAGTGTTTTATCATCCTTAGAATAGAATTGACGAAACCACTTTATCCATTCCTGACCAGCACACGGTTCGGCTGTAAATAGGGCTAGAGATTTCTCCAGGACCACAGTGTACAAGAACGACACGTCGTGCTTTCTTCTCGTTAAACTTGTTATTATATTTCATAGAGCACAGTAAAAAACTCCATTTCGTCAGTCACGTTGCCGATTCTCGCAGTTTAGGTACTCTCTGCCAACGACAGCTGTGTGGCTCAGCGTCTGCCGTCCAGGCTGTCTCAGGTGATTAACCTCTCCCTCGATCCCGCTGATCATATTTATTGCACAATTCTGGACGAGTCCTAACCTGCTTGAGCGGTGAACAAGGAAGATACACCAGCGTCGTTTTTTGATGTGACAGATAGATTTCCTTTGTCGTCAACAAAGAAGGCATACCAGACTTTGCTGAATTCTAAGCGGAATCTGGTGTGTGTCATTATTCAAAACCAATCGATTCTATCATATCATCGTTTACGAGTAAGAGATATATCCCTCAGAGATTATTATGAGAGTAGGAATCTAGCTTGTATGGGCGTTGTGCTCTCCCATGTTTGACACTGCTTCCGTTACGAGTTGTGCGACAGCCTGTCTGCCGAACTCGGCCGCCATTCTAGTCTTTCACTTGCCTGCCCTTTCCAAGCTGTTTTCCGTTTTGGTTTTTTTCTGGAGTTTCGTCAGCAGAATAAATATTTTATGAATCCTGTGTTACTCTGTATATTAGTACGAGATCGAAAATCTACTGATATGGTAATTACTAATTGGGTTCCTGCATACTTGATTAGCCCAGCAATCTATGTCAGCTCATCAAAATGCAGCTGTTTTCTTTAATATCATACACCACCACTTGTCGATAAAGAAAAGGAAATTGGTAAAAAGATGAAGGATAAAGCTCTCGACGTTGATCAATTCCTGAGGGATACGCCATACATTCGACTTCATCAAGCATCGTTTGGAGGTAATTGAATGCATATCTGGCTTTAACAATGATTCGCGGTGGCCTACCGATGTATCGAACCAGTGCTGCTATCCTCCCAGACGAGTCTGGCACCAATTTGCCGACCCAGGAGGAATGGAAGACTTGGTGAGCCACGGATGCGGGAGTCGACCCCGTGTGTGTGTTGCAGAGCGCTTCCGACCACTGCGCCATAGATCCTTTAGGGAATAGGTATGAAAGCTGTAATAGAAGTTTTATAACTTAAATAAAGAAAAATAATCTGACTTGGGGTCTTAGTTTTACAAATATCTCAGTATTATTAAGGCAAAATATTTCCCAAAAATATGAAATGAGAAAATAAACAATACTACACAACATGAAATATAAAGAATCGAACAGGATAAGAACCTCATACAGCGTAGTCATTTTTATCGTAATCTCATAAATCACCCGTATCATGTGAAACGCTAGTCATCAATAGGTATCGAATGCTATAGGTAAGGCTTGTTTTTCTCCCTGTTGGGTTTCATGACTACCCAATTAGGTCCCGTTTTCTAGAGGAGCATGGGGAGCACCGCTTCACCCTTGGTGATTGTTTCATGGACCGTTTTCTGTCGCTAGAGCAAAAGCTCGCCGAGATCTTGTGTAGCATAGCTCAGTGCTTTGCATAGCATCTGGAAGGGCACTCACTTACTTTTAAGTCAACCGAAATCCTGTTGAACACAGGAATAGAGGCGTCGCCTTAACTGGCCAGTATTGCTTAATAGTCTCTCGTGTTTAATTTGCAAGCAGTTCAGCTTCGCGGTCTTCAGCAAAGGAATGAGCGAACTGGACAGAGGGTAGCTATGATCCTCATTCCGGTGATTTGTCGAAGTTAATACGATGTTGTTCTGTCTGTGCTCCATTCGCAGACATTAAAATTGCTTTATAATGGATAGAAGCGGAATAAAGACTGCTTATCGAGGCCCTAGGCAGATCTAATTTTATAGCTTCAAACACAAGATGTTCCGTCAACCACGCAGCATTTTCAGGATCAGTGTCGCTTTATCCAAGAACTTCATCCTTACAAAGAATGACGTCAAAAAAGGCAACGTCACTTTAAGAAAATCTTTAGTCTTTCAAATCGCAGGCTTGGAGATGAAGAACGAGAAGGGACATAGTCACAACCTCAAATCCGATCTGCCGGGTTACGTGCTATTGTCAATCTAACGGAGCTATTAGGGAAACTCATGGATCTGAAGAACTACGTGTAGACATGATGAGCACTGGAAATATAAGTTGTGGGATTTCCAACAGTAACTTCAATGAAGAGTAATGAACCATTTAGAATCTTTCAAAGAAATGGTTCATTTCGACTGGAAGCTGAGGCAGCTTGGGTCATTTTACACACCACTTGCAATACTTTCTTACAAGTAGATAAAAGTTGAAAAAACAAGCGCGTGGGTTCTTATGAGTCGAATAGGAAACATGTTCAAACCATTCATTTCACTATTTGCAAAGATACAAAAATACCACAAGTACATCCGTTGAATGAATTGATACGTGAGTGAAAGGAGGCAGAAGAAGGACACAGTAAGACAGGATGATAGGCGAATAGATTGCAGAGCAAAATCAGCACATAAACTACAAAATTCAAGCTAAATATTTAGATATATCCACGCGAATTCGGCGCTCCAGGGCTAACGAATGTGGACCATTGCCACTTTCCTATGTGCATCTGTATTATCAGGCGGAACGACATAAAAATGATCACTGTCCAGAAGACCACCTTAGAATTTCAGTCTGAGAGGGAATGCTTGAGCTACGACTTGTACCCGTACTGATACTCAAGAAATTGGCGTTCTTCGTCATTCTCCAGCTGATGGCCGATCTCCATTTCCTTAACAATACAATGAATGACATGGAACATGCAGTAAAATCGGGCTAGTAAAACTGAAATGAGAGAATAAAAGGATAAAGCTCTCGGTGTTGATCAATCTCTGAGGGTGCGCCATGCGTTCGACTTCATTAAGCATCATTGGAGGTGACTGAATGCATACCTGGGCTTTACAATGACTCGCGGTGGCCTGCCGATGTATTGAGCCAGTGCTGATAGCCTCCCAGACAAGTCTGGTACCAATTCACCGACCCCAGATGGATGGAAGGCTTAGCGAGCCTTGGGTGGGGTATCGACCCCACGTGTATTGCAAGGCGCTCCCGACCACTGCGTTACAGGCGTCTCTTGAGACGAGATATCGAAAGTAGAGCTTCCGGCAGAGGTAGTCAGCGGTTAAGAGAATGGAAATTTGTGGATAATAGAATGTCGCTAAGCGGTAAAAACACTTAAGAGTGCACAGCAATAACTTCCTCTTTTGAAAAGTACTGCATCGAAAAACAACAGTTCGCATCCATGAATCAAACTACTTGTTGAAAGGCCAATGGACACAGCTGTTTAAATGAATGAATGATTCATAGTGCAGGAGGAAAACCATTAAACTGTCGTGATTTCGTTTTTCAAACCGACTTTCATTAAACCTCAGCAGGAGTAACCACACCTTTCTTTATTATTAAGCAAAAATAGGGTTGATAAAAAGATTTATTCGGCTAACGTTTCGACGTCTTCGTCTTCCTCAGAGTCGGATTGATTGGAGTGGATGGTCCACAGCCGGTAATGATTGAAGAGTGTATTGTCGTGATTTATTTAGTTATACTATTTTTTTTCTACCCTTGTTTTCATCCTTCGCCGATACAACCAGCAATCACGAAACGAAGTTTATCGTAGTTCAAGAAAAAGTAAATTATACCACTGAAGATAAAAAGAGTGAGTGATGATGATGAGAGAAGATGAGTGAGTGAGAGTGATGTTTACTGGAAATCCTCTCTAATAGTCCTTCGTGAAATGCTCAAAAGTAGAATGAACAACACCTGCTAGTAAACAGGCGAATTTTCTTCCATCTTCAGAAAAAACCCTTTTCAGATTCAAAGTATCCAGATTTTTATGAGACATGGCAACACCAAGCACTGAAAAATTCCGTAGCTTCAAAATTGTTCTCGTGGTTCATCCTAGAATCTCCCAGAAAATCGAGTGCTGAAATTTTCTACGAACTTATAGCGCATAGCACATATGTCCCCTGATAGAGTATGGAGGAACGGGCTTTGCTGACTACAAGGGAAAGGCACTGATATTTCAGAACTGTTCAGAACAACTTCATTCATACGACTAAGCTCTCAATAACAGACTAGTGCCGGTTCCCAAGTGAGTCCTATCTCGGCTGTCCGTGTTTTACACTTCTCATCAAAGACAAAATCCTGCGATGACGAAGAACTGTCTTCAGGCATGTAAGCCGAAGGAAACCAATCACACAAATCACATAACAGCAGCAACAACTATTGCTAGTAAGGTGGGCCATGAGCTGGAAACTGAAAAATAAATTCTTGTTAGTTAAAGGAACGAAAAACAGTGCTCTTTCGTCCAAAGCTCCCTACTCGCCCGAAATTATTCATGCTGTAATCAATGAACTTCCCAGTCTGCTTTTATGCAGTTGGATCATATCACTTCCATTCCAAACCTTTTGGCAAAATTCAAGTCTCGTTCAGTGGATTTCCATGCACAAATTTTAAGAAATATAGGAATGACGAAGAGCCACGCAGTCATTTCTTCACTTCTTTCATTTGAGCATTATGGCAGTATATTGATTACGGCCAGGAAGGTAAATGTGAAATGAACACTTGAGAAAACTGTCAGAAGCTTTAAAAACGACAGGACAAAAAATCAGCAAGGTTCAAGTTATGGGCGAATCATTGAGAAAAACCATCTTCGAGTCTTCCATTTAGGAATATGCTAAAACAATTACAAGTAAATGAATACTTAGCTAAGTTGATGAGCTGCACAAACCTTTCTACGAACAGCATAGTGGCCAGCACGTCGCGTCTCGCAGCAGCAGGTGATGAGGATCGACAGCAGTGCGATCGCCACCGCGCACAGCACTGCGACGAACCACGCCGCATTCCGAAGCGACTCTGAAATTCAGGAAGAACGTCTGCTAGAAGTGTAGCGAGAGCGTTGCTCAAATGATATCCGATTAAACTGCGTTGTCTAAGATTACGAAATTTCATTAGTATAGAACTCAGAGAAGGGTTCGATGTTGATCACATTCATGGACACGAGTAATGCGTTTGACACCATTCGCATCAGCAGGCAGGTCACCGAATTTATACATGGCCCATAGACCTGTGGGGCCTTGCTGAAGTATCAACTCAGTCTTAACCATTTTATTTACTGCCTATTCTTTTTAACGGCAGGGTATTTTGCGAAATATAACTATTATAATGCTGAGATATTTGCAAAACTCCAGACCGCAGGTGCTTGAGGTGGAGAACGAACGCGCTATTGTCCTTTTCGGGGAGTAACGCGTTCACCACCACACCATGCGGGTCCTTCGTTTCGCCTGTCTCTCAGCTAGTTCTATCGAGAAAGGAATAACAATCCTATTGAGGTGCAACACATCTCCGTTCAACACCTGTATAAAGAAGCGCCTTAAAAATTGAAAAATCCTAATCTGATGATAAGTTGCTTCCTTTTTAAATAATTTACCACCTTAATGAAAACCAGACCAATGAATCAGAGAAAGAAATCATGGAATGTTCTAACAAAAACGCTCGTCTCTAGGAACTTTTGTAATCTGTTCAGGTACATAGGTATGTATTAACTCCTTCTATACTACAAAGTAAAGAAGACCTTGGTTAAGATGAGAGACGTCTTCTTTGCTGATCGTGATGACTTTGCGTGTTTTACCGTACGATATGCGGTTACCGTCACGAGACACGCCAGTGAGCAGGTAACTGGAACCATCACGCAGACCCGATATCGTCAACCGAGTCTGCGGTAGATAGACTGTCGTTGATTCGTGGTAATCAGTGGAATCTGAAACTGGGAACCCGTTCGCTAGGTGTGATGCACACTCATCAAGGCAACGAATACCAGTGTATAAGTAAATATAAGTGTAGAAGACTAGAAGCAGCTTTTCTATCCTGCCACCAATCCTCATTTAGAAAACTGTTTCAATAAAGGTTTTTGAGCTTCTTGAACCGGGATTAGTCAAACCAATTGCGTTTACTCTCATGTAAAGGCACATTCTTAATACCTCCACACCTGAAACTCGGTTGAAAAAAATCCTCCTAGCTTTTAAAATAGTTGAGAGCACTTATCGATTTCAAAGCAATCGTGGAGGTAATTGAAAGCATATTTCGCCTTGAAAATGACTTGCTGTGAGCTAGTAACCTAACAAGGCAAGGTAGGCATTTTTGCCAACTTCGGAAGGACGGGCGTCTTAGCTGGATGCTGGATCGACCGTCCACCACGTGTATTTTGTGGGGCATCTCTAAGCATTGTGGGGTAGGCGCAGTCAATTCAAGGGACCAGTTATACCAGTTATCTAAGAAACGGAAAAGTAATCATGAAAAGATTCTCATAATCAATTTAGATAGCCGAATCAGAATTCAAGAATTTTTTTGCCTTGCTGTACATAAGTAGGTTTCAAACTACAGGCAAGCCAAAACGTTCCGAAAGCCACTGACAGACAAAACCAGTTGCTATGGCTATCACAACGTCCTGTGGTCGTCAGAGATGAGCTCACCTTCTAGCGTGTAGTTCACGTAGAACGACGATCCAGGCATTCTCCACATACTGCGATTTGACGGTTTCCATTCGATATCCACACTGTCGATGGTGATGTTGGTTACCAGAAACGACGGTGGATCGGGATCTGAAAACGCTACTGTGGCGGGCGCTCAGAAGCAATTTGTTCAGTGGTTGCTGTAAAGTTCTTTCACGAAAAATTCATAAAAATTAATGTTCCGAAGCACTTTACTCCAATAACACATTTCTCTAAGCCGTAATAGAGGAAAATCCTAGAGTTTCAAGTATTCACACTTGTGGGGAATTTCCTGAATGCAGTGCTGTTCTGTGTAAAATGGTTTTCCCGGATGGTGTAGTGGTGAAGTGCGCTGCTTCCCGGTAAGGACAACAGCGCGTGTTCGTTCCCCACTGTATACACCTGTGGTTCGGAGTTTTGCAAATATCTCAGCATTTCATACGAGTTATATTTCGCAACATACCCTGCCATTAAGAAGAAAAAGGCAGTAAATAAAAGAGTTAAGAAAGTGGTTTTCGTTTTTGCCTACAAGCCACATAGTTGCGATAAGGTCAGAATTTCTCACACATAGTGAAAAGGTGCATTTATTCTCACATTGCGGTGGATTAGAACGATATTCTGCTGCTTTGGGTTTTTCAAGTGACAATAATATTCTTTTGGCAACCTTCACTATTTTCTATCGTGCACAAATCTTTTTGCACCCAAAAAGCAACTCTCAATAAAAATACCAAAGGGCTGGTTTCAGAAAGGCGTTTCTCCTCAAGCTCTCCAAAACTAACTCATTATGTCAACTTCTTTATTTATATGGCTATTATAATATTTCACGGCAAGGTATTAAGTGTAATGCAACCACAATGAAGCTGAGACATTTGCAAAACTCTGGACCGCATGTGTCTGGACATCACACTGTGCGAGTTTCTCGTTTCGCCTATCTTTTAGCTAGTTCTATGGTGGTGAACGCGTTAGCCCCCGAAAGGGTAATAGCGCATTCGTTCCCCAACGCAAACCCGAGTGGTCCGAAGTTTTGAAAATATCTCAACATCATTGTGGTTGTAACCCCTTGTTGTTTTAACTTTTATTCACTCCCTACAAGTTTTTTTCTCTAACGGCGCTATCAGCAATCTTCTTATTCTTCTTCTGTTAGAAACCCACTGAAATCGCTTATGATGCGAGCAAGTACCTCCAGCAATGGTGGGGCATCTTTTATAAACTGGGAAATCGTGCTTGCACGTTTTTGAAATTTGGAAAAATTGGCTTTAGTTGAGATTACTTCTGGATGGCCACGTCCTGACCGGTCGCATGGTCCTCTCGCCTTCACCAGCACTCGTCTCACCCCATACGGACACCTTGTAAGGTGTGTCCGCTTCTGCCTTCTCGTGCAGATACGATAACTGTCGATGGAGAACGAAAGTCTCCTCAGTTTCGTCTGAAACACGTCTTCTTATCAACAAAGCAAAATTAGCTCACTTTATTTCGCATTTTTTGGCATATTCATAGATGTAGATTTTAAGTTCGTGTTTTTATTCTCCCAGAAAAGTCTGGGACCGATTTTCCGGCCCACAGTGGGAGCGACATCATGGGCAGCAGAGCGCAGATCGAACCAGGAACCGAACCTGTGTGGATTTCAAGGTACCTCTAATAGCTACGTTACATGATAAGCAACTGAATATTGTAGATAAATTTATCCCGTCCAACAGAGTACTGCATTATAAGCCTGTTCAGCGAATTTTGAATGGTTTTCAACGTTGCAGAAGAAACTATGTCTACTGATAGTGCCGGGTTCACAGTGACCATCGACGACTACTAGCTGTGACGAACTGCGAATGACCTGTTACGGCTATCTCGAGAGTTTCTACACCAATAAACTCTCACCACCAACACACTAGTGACGAGTAAAAGTGTGACGTGCTAGCGACCGCTAGTCCTGTTAGTGAAGTTGATGATTAGCAAAATGTCGAAATAAATGGTTAGACTTTTTCGCGGACTACAATCAAATGAGAGATTCCTCTGCGAGCTAAACAATGTGGTCGTCGTTTCTTGGTCTTGGTAAGTCAGGAATTCAGCACTTCAGCACATTCAAAACTTCTCGCCTTCATTCTTGCAGTGAAGCAAACATTTTGTCAAGCCGATGAAGCTGGAAGCCACCTAGATTTTCAAACATCTTTTTTGCAATCGTTTGTTTCGAATAGGAAAGTCCAACCATTTCCAATACCGAGGGAACCATATGGTCTCTCTAAACAGATCTTCGAATTTTAACCTTATCTCGACCATAGTTAACTTTCCACCGTCTTTATAATGCACTGATTAAACTTGGTAAATTTACAACAATCGCGTAGATTACAATTCGTGAGTTGTGGGTCCCTCGCTTGAGTTAAAGAACAAAATATTGGAGCCATCTAAATTTTCAGTAAAATGGACATTTTGACAAAGGTAAAATCAGCGGAAATTTTCTCAAAGCTTAGATATAATGCTTGCATGGTTTTAGATTGACAGAGCAAAAATATCTTTGAGTTCACCAGATATCAACTCCCAACGTACACGAGTTATCAAAAAATTATCGACGAGTTGTTAAGAAACTCTTTCTCTCGCGAAATGTTTAGTGAAATACAATGTTTTCTGTTCCTTATTTGGTTGATTACTCACTGCGATCGTTGACGAACGAGAGGAAATAGCCCCGGATCTTGCCATTTGGATACTTTGGTGGCTCCCACATTACAAGAATAGAATGAGCACCAACAGCGAACACTCGTAGATTGTGTACTTTAGATGGCACTGAAAATCATACTTCTCTTCGAAAATCTTTAATGAACAATTCGGCTCCAAAATTTACTCCAAAAAAAAGAAGATGCAGCATTTGAAGATTAATTTCTAAACGAAAGCATTTTCCCATGTGTTAAATTCCCATTGTCTTTTCCCATCCCATTGTCTTATGACTTCTCTCAATGGTTCGAACTGGCCGACCTCCTTCCAAAGTGGTCACGTGCACCGACGGGCTGGGTGCGCTGGCATGGCGACGATTCCTCGTCCTGATCACGGCTGTGTAGTTGGAATTTGCGAGAAGTCTGGTGATGAGCTGAATTTTTGGATATTCTTGGGGTGAAGAGGCTTGTTAGTCAACAGGGAAACATAGAGGGCACACAAAAGAACCTTTGTGGTTGCATTCGACGGCACAATCACACGATACTTTCGAGCTGGAAGAACATCACGCCAGAATTCGATCTGAAATGCTATTTCAAAGAGGAACCATAGGTGGATTCGTAAGGACACAGCATTTTAATTCGTTTTTTTATCTCTAGAACATAAGTCATTTAGAGCATCATATCCTAAGGGAACGGACAAAGAAGGATGGATCTCATACATTGAAAAGAGATAGGACGCCAATGTTACGACGTTTTACCGAAGTTATAGCCACATTTATTCAAATTAAACGCCGAAAAAATTCAACAAGTCGAGTATCCGATCCGAATATTTAATGAATTAGCTTTCGAGTGGTAAGTGGAGCAGTAGTTGAAAGTGGACGTCCGAGGTGAGTAGTGGACGTCCCTTTTATTGATCAATTCAGTAAAGCCGTATCATGTTATCTGGATAGGTATCACACCACTGCATCATATAAGTCAGGTAAGGAAACATTTTTCTTAAAGTCAAATGTGCACCTCGTAGCCTCTGAAGAAGCCGTTCACAGTTTGCTCATCAACCGGTTCCCATGAGAAGCTCACCGACGAGAAGTTCACCACTTTTTCGACTCGGAAGTTGTTCGGTGGTGAATCTGGTACTGCAACATAAAAAGGTTCCCTTACCAGAATGGTTAAAGATTTTATTGTCAAACACTCAATGACAATGCTTAGCATGCAGAGCGGTACCAAGATGATGAGCCCATGAGGCCAAATGTCCTATCTATGCACTGAATTGTGAGAATGGTCGATAAAACTATTGGTTCCCACTTATGTAAAAGCATTCCTAGTCCACCGATTGGCTTGACTGTATGATATAACTTGACTTTTATTGAGGTGGATTATTTTCTAAGTTCGCAAAATAGTTTTTTGAGGACCTCGTACATATGTGTGTTGTGCAGTGGTTAAAGCTGGCCCCCATTACACACGTCAGCTTTGGTTCGATCCCGAGTGCTTGCATTTGCTTCCGCCAAACCTTTCAGTTCATCATCGTCAAAAGCGGAAACGCGTCCGAGACTTTTCACATCTTCAACGTTCAACGGGATTCTCCGAACCAATGCTTCACTCTGTTTTCATAAACACCCTGGTCGTAAAGCATAATAAAGCTCTCAGCGTTGATCAATCACTGAAGGATGCGCCATGCATTGGACTTCATTAAGTATCGATTGGAGATAATTGAATGCATGGCTGGCCTTCACAATGACTCACGGTGGCCTACCGATGTATCGAACCATTGCTACTATCCTCTGAGACAAGTCTGGTACCAATTTGCCGACCCCGGAGAGATGGGAGGTTTGGTGGGCCAGGGGTGCGAGGATCAGTTCCACGTGTGTGTTGCACGCGGCCTCCAACGATTGCGCCACATCTTTCAATAACATTTTTAGGCATTTGCACTACATACATCAGAGTTTGAATTTGTAAAATTAAATTTGTCGAATCTATTGCACTGACATCACTTATAATATATAAAATTTTTCAGCAATACAATAAGTTAAAATTGTGATTATAACTGCGGCCTCAGCTTAACTTGGTTCGTTGCCGATTTGGGCCCCCCAGATCAAACCCGCCGAAGGGTGATTGATGATGGCAAAAGATCGATAGAACTAGCTGAAAGACAGGTGAAACGGAGGACCCGCATGGTGTGGCGGTGAACGCGTTACTACCCGGAAAGGACAATAGCGCGTTCGTTCCCCACTGCATACACCTGCGGTCCGGAGTTTTGCAAATATCTCAGCATCATTGAAGTTAGATTTCACAATGTATACCCTGCCGTAAAAAAGAGTAGGCAGTAACTAATAAGTTGAAATACAATTTATGTTCTAATTCAATAATTCAGGGAGAAAGTGCATAAGACGCATTACAATACTTTACATTGATATATAATAATAACCAGCGAGAGAAATCCGGATCAAGAGCCTCCGTGGCGCAGTTTGACGCATGAGCCCCCAAAAAGGGGAATCGTGGTTCGATCTGTCCGGTGTCCACGTTTTGTGATTATCTCAGCACCATTGTGGTTGAATCTTACACCATACCTTGCCGTCAAAACTATAGTAGGTAGCAAATAAAAGGTTAGCATTGACACATAATAGTTCCATACTCGAAAAGAGTTATTATCACTGGAACGTGTAGAAGAAAAATAAAACGGAATAGTGCATTAATTCCCGAATAACCTAGTCACTGAATTCATAGATCTAATAAAGGTTGGCAGATAACCTGCTAATTACTTGGTAGAAAGCAAACCGTCTTCTCCAGAAAATCCTTTAATGGTCTCTGGTTCCAGAATACTTGGTCCTATGGCGTTTACAGCTCGAACTTGTACCAAGAATGCTCGGAAAGTCGGTTGCCCACGAATGATAGTGTGATTCTGAACAGAATTTTTCTTCACAATTAGCAAATGGGAACCGGGGATTAGCTAAAAATCACCAACCGCCAAGGGATCCTCCACCATGAACTCCGTCCAGGCTAAATGTGGTTCGTCCAGCTTATATCTAAAGTTTTTGAAATGCATAAAATCGAAACCGTTATGTGGGACCAACAACGTGAAAAATTACGCCGATTGACTCCGTGCTATCAAGTCAATTCTGCAGCTTTTTTAAAAGTTAATCTTTCTATGAAGCCAGGTCAGGTCACTTTACACCAAATACGACGTGATTTGGCCGTCACAAGAATCCGACTCACCTCACTAAGTACTGAAGATTGGGGGCGTTCCAGTAGTACTTGTCCATCGGTTCCCAGTACACAACAAGGTTATCTGCTTCAGTGCCATCAGCTCGAACGCCGACTGGATTCGTGTAGGGGAATGAGGGCCGAGTTTGGCAAGAAACAGTTTCCATTATGTCTGCAAGTAAGTAAGTGTTCAACGAGTGGCGTTATAGTAGGAACATTCAGCATTTGTACGAGTGCACAGCATACGTTCAGTTTCATTCTGTGATGATGACTAATTGTGGCCAAGCAGAAGGAACGAAGAAGATTTTTCCAGATTTAAAAAAATATGAAATATCATTGCTCTATTCTACTAGCGAAAAAACCTCTACGATATTTTATCGGGAAATAGTCTTTCTGCCTTGTTCAGTTTTCTATTCGTAGTAACTGTATTAGCCGCATGATGTGATCATTTTGAATTAAAATTGTAACAAAGGAAAGTTATCAAGTAGGAATAAGCTTAAAGATATCCAGCTAGTTCATTTTTTAACTAGAAGTCCGTCATATTGACTTGATTGCATGTTGGCTTCTTCATCTACTCATATGCAGATAGAGCATTTGAACTACAGGTTTTCAACTGCAGTGATGTTGAGAAATTTGCAAAACTCCGGACCGCTGGTGTTCGCGGCGCGGATCGAACCTCGTTATTAGCCTTTCCGGGGCAAACGTGTTGACAACTACACCATACGTGTCCCTCGTTTCGCTTTTCTCTGATTCATACTGGTTTTCACTTTAAAACGAGATATAAGACATAAGACCGCGAAAGAACTTTTTCTGTAACGGTTGATAAGGGCACTGGTGAAGAATGAACTGAGGGAGTTGTGCAAAGATTCGGCTTAGACTACTTTTATCATTTTTAATCATTGTAAAGTAAAAACAACCAGTGATAGATAAAGACCTTTCATATATGTGTTCATACATATAAGAAGATTCTGTCCACGAAGAAATGATACTATCACACTTATCATCACAAGAACTAAAAATTTGTTCTTCAGATCCAAAGAAAAGAACGAGAAGTAATTCTCACGACCAAGTTTCTACTCTACTTTATTTGCTCAACAAGAATATCGGAAGCCAGCAGTTTCTTGTAAACTGTCTGAAGAAAAAAAACTGATAATTAAATTCAAATGAGCGAACCGCCTTGGTCGAGGGCAGTGTTGAGATCGGATCGACCATAAGTGTTCTCGGCGATCACACGGAATGTGTAGTTCACCTGAAGAACCTTAACCGATCATATATTCATCATGAGAAAACCGCAGTTTTCATTAACTATTGTAATGAAAATTCCACCATAAAGTGGAGGTGGACCTCAGAATCACACAACCGCCGATTTCACAAAACTTGCAACTGCGCTGGTTTGTGAAAGAAGTAATCCAAAACGTAGCAGCAGTCATAAAAAAAACCACAGTTCTTCAAATATTCCTCTTAGAAAACACCCAACCGGATAAAAGTTTTTACACTTACAACTTAAAACCTGCAGCGCACCAGAATATTAAATCCATGAAGAATGCGCCTTGCATTTGACTTCGTCAAGTATCGTTAAAGGTGCTTTAATGCATTTCTGGCCTAGGTTGCAGTAACCGGCCGATGTATCAAATTAGTGCTACTACTCTCTCAGACACAGCTAGTACCAAATGACCAAAGCCATAATGATGGAAGGCTTGGTGAGCGCTAAACGTGGGGTCGAACCAACGAACACATGTGTATTGCACAGGACTTATAGCCACTGCGATACACGCGCCTTACTACATGCATAATCAAGAATAACCCTAAGTGGCACCTACCCACGGCGTTAGGGTGACGTCAGCTTCGAACGTCGTCTTCGCCACATTCGTCTCATACACAACTCGTTCCCACATGTTCTAAAATATAAAGGTTTTATAAGACCTCTACTCTCAGTACATCATAATATCTTAACCACGGAAACAAAAAAAGCTATCTAAAAAGATGTGCAGTACAATCGCGAATTTCGATCATGTCTCAGCATCCTAGTAGTTGTATTACACTTGGTACGCCGCCGAGGAAAAAGAATAGAGAGTAAATAAAGGTTAAAACATTATCCATAAGGAGCACGATTTCTGCAGTTTCTGCATCATTAAGAAACATCTCTCAAACTAAGTGAGCCAAGCTGAAAATGGCACTGAAAGTAAGGCCAACATTGAAAATGTTTAGAATATAGCTACTGTGGAAGAAACTTGGTTGTAGGATGGTGAACTTTACTACAATTTGTGGAAGGCGATAACTACAGCCTCACGCGATCCCATTACGCTTTGAGATGGATCTCTCAAGACAGCAAGGAGAAACATTTCGCTCGTTCAATTTTTTGAGGTACTAGGATTTTCAAATCAGACAAAAACCACCTAGCAATCCAGGTAAGTGAGACTAACGAATGTGATAAAATGACAAAGCGATAGGATTATAAAGAAAAGACGTCGAGAAGATGAGTGAAAAAGGAAGTTTCGAACTTTTTTGAAGTCGGTCTGCATTTCTACGATGTATCTCTTGATCTGATCACCATGCTCATCGGCAGCCTGCCATTTTACCACTGCTTTCCGTTCAGTGCATATCGGAGGATCCATAATCGGATGTGCAGGTACATCTGCAAACGTTGTGCGACTTGTACACAATAAAAAACCCTAGCATTTGGTAGCGACTTCACAGCAACTGAAGTGTTAAGCCTCTTTCTACTAAGGAGCCACTTCCAATTTTCATTACCTATTAAACTCACTCGATCAGATGACGTCTATAGGAGTCATGCTTCGCGAAAATAATGGTATCTTTCAATTTCAATTCAAGATAACTTAGCTCGTGATGAATTTCATTATTTTCAATGGAAACCATTCGAGTCTATAAATCTTTGCCTACTGGATGAAATCTTCCTTGCTTCGCTTTGATCAAATTCTCACTTTTTGGAGCCCGTGATATTTAACGTTTCCAGTTCACTGCTTCAAGATTCATTTTTGGAAAGCGAGGAAGGAACACGCGGTATTTCATCCAGTATGACACGATGCTGTTCCAAACGCGTTTTTATTTTTCTACAGACTGGGTAATCATTGTAAATCTTAAAACGTAAATTTGGTCAGTAATTTTTGGATGAGTGAGGCCTAGACGTAGTCAAGATTGAAAGGTTACTGTGTAAAAAAGTACATGAGATTATTGCAATAGAGCAAATTCCCCTTTATAAACCTATAAGCTGGCCCTGAAATACTCTACTGACTGATAAACTGTTAAGTTATCAAAAAAAACCAGCTTTATCGCGAAAGGGTTAAAGTGGTGCGAAAATAGGTTTCTTCACGGTCATTGTTGTACAACAACTCTAGGAGTTGTTCTTAACTTCAGCGTTTTCTGCCCTAGCCGATTACCTATGTAACCCTATCCCAATATTTTGCATCATTTCTTTTAAGAGTGCTTCGTTATAGTAAAATAAAACAGTTGTCTAATATGGTTTAGTTTCTTGGGAAATAATTTGAATGGTATGATTACCTTTAACGGTAAGTCGCATCGATGCCAACTTCACATCGACATCAGTGATGGCGGCGCAGTCGATCACTCCGGAATGACGTCCTCTAGCTGAATTTATCCGAAGACCATTCGGCAGAATGCTGTAGATGACAATTCACATGTTTATAAGGAAGTTATTCCATTGACCATATTTCTTGTAGATACCATGGTCCTACCAACAGAAGAAAGATGTGGGTGAAATTCTTGTTGAAGGAAAGAACATAAACAAGAACTAAAGAGCAAGAAGAAACGGACAAAGTACTACCTAAATACGTCACTCTCGTTGATAATCTTGCCGTTAATCGTCCATTTGTACTGAACACTCAAACGAGGGTCGGCAACTGCCTCGCAGTGCAACTCCGCAGAGTGACCCGCCTCCATTGTCAGCTTCTGTGGTGACGGAATCTTCACAAAGTATGTCGGTTCTAAATCTCACTTAATTGTTTCGTCCTACTTTGATGGAAACAAAGACTTCTATGACTAACTGTAAACTAGAAGTCGATTTGTGGCACGACCAATTCCGTACTTATTCGACACATTGCAATAGTAGAGCCCTTCGTCTGCACTGCTCAGGTCATGTATGATGAAGGTGTTGTTCCGCAACAACTGACAAAATAAAGCGGTTCATTCATAGAAAATCCTATAGCCACATAAGCCAAGAGCGCCCAGACTTAAAGGACTTCGGCGAATCAGGTTGGAAATAGTACGAACAGCATCAGGTTGCTTCATGCCTTTGTGATCTTCACAGGTTTCTTATTACTTTAGCAAAGTCGAGTAAGTCAACTTTTACTTTCAAAGGAGAAAGTTTAGAGTTTGTGGTCAGGAAGGCGTCAAAAAATGTCAAAATGAATCTAACATAGAAAAGACACAAGCGAAAGAGAATCTGAAGCGAATATATTCATCGACCTTTGTTTTTTGTTTCTCTCAAAATTACTCTCGTCACCTCATTGTGAAAAAGAGGTGATTCCTACTTGGAAATTGTTCAGTGCACGAGCTAATTACATGAGTAATAAGAAAGCTCTAACCGATCTGTCTGCACCGAGGATAGAAGCTTCTTTTCAATATTCTGAATAGAACCTGATCTGAACGGAACCTGTGTTTTTCCATCGATGACTCGCAACGGGATGTCGTCGGCGTCCACCCATCTGACGACTGGCTCCGGTGCTGCCTCCACTTCACAATTCATAGCAACCGACGTCCTCAACACCGCCTTCCATAACCGATGTGTGGGCATCAAAAAGTATGGAGCATGTGCTGAAATAGTGGGGGTAAAAGTGGTGATAGGGGTAATGGTCATAAAAAAAACAGCTCTAAGTCTTTTAATTCTTCCATGTTTTTATACACATTCTTATTTCTTATTCACCTTCACACACAGGCATTCTTTTTAAAGAATGCCGTCATCACATCTACTGCTCGGGTCTCAGGATTTCTTGCATTGAGTTCATTCCCCTCGTATTCATCATCCAAAATGCTAAACATTTTTCGGGTTAGTTCGGCTAATACTTGACGATTTTGTTTTCTTTACAAATGCCGTGGAGTGCTGGTCGACTTGATTCTCCCAGAAGTTATGGAGATAGCGGAGGGAGCTAATGTGTTCCTACGTGAATTGGATGAAAGCGTTAGGGAAAAAGTCGAAACAACACCTATTTCCTGATGGACTGTGTTACTAAGCACTGCTCCACCCTTCCCATCTTTTATATAACACTGGAAAATTCCATAAATCGTGTGTTACTTCGATAAATTATACGAATTACTTAATGCTGGTAAGAATAGAACAACACTCATGCGAAATCGCCCATCATCAAATCAACTACTAGAATTTGTGACTCGTTTACGGTTCGATTCCTAGTGAATTTATAACTTAACCACACTAAGTAGCCTTGTGCTGCGACAGAGCATTACATGGTGCCAATAGCTACTTTACTGCATAAAAAGCAAAATTAGGTGGCCTCATAACAAAACTGTTGTGCTCTGCGTGTGCCATGGGCAACTAAAGCCTATTGAGCAACGACGAATAGAACAGGAATTTACTGATGGTATTCGATGACCAACTACTTCCCAACGATTTACCGCCTCGTCGTGGCTGGGAGATCTTTCTGGGTATCGGGCTGCGTTGTACAGCGGAGGGATTCATCCCCCGGCAGCGTCTCCATGCTGAGAAGGAGACCAGCGTTTCTGTCAGGAAGCCTAGCTAAAAATAAACCAATACCAGGGTCCACCACGGTCCTGGTATCAAACTAATCGCTTGGTGGCAAGTCCCTGTCTGATCTACAAGGTTGACGACTGCCTGTGGTGCTGATAACCTACGGAAGACTTTGGCCAGGCTGACCTCGGGACTCTAAGGAAACACAATGACTAAGCCAGCAAAATTCCGAAAATTGGAGAGTCTGCTGAGGCCCGCATTACCAGTGAGGACGGGCTGTCCAACTAACCAAGTAATTAGGTATTCGATGATTAAAGTTCGAGTTCCTAGATGAACAACGAGATTACAGATAATTATAGATGAAGTGATCTTTGGCGAAATATAAGCACTGGCAGAACAGTAACACTCTTTGCTTCAAATTTTTCGAACATGTTTTCATGTTTAAAATTAAAGATTAAAGCAGTTAGTTAAGATGCTGCTATGAAATTCTTTTAGGATATGCTCGTCTTCTGAGCCTAGTATTCCCGGCCGCATTCATTAATGCGAAGCAGCCCCTGAAGTTCCACTAAGTCCGAAAAAAATTGAACTTTTCTAAAAAAATAGCTTACATAGTAGACAAGTTTTTGATCGCCGCTGCTGTCTTGAAACGTATCTGGTTTCAAGGCCAAGTGGTCATAGATCGACTTTTGAAATCATGCTATGAAATCGCTGAAGTTTCCACAAAATAAAGAGTATCACTTGGAACCGAACCGATAGTGTTCAAACTGGTCAATTGAATATGTCGGCTACGGTAACGTTGTCGTGCGAAGCTACGAAAGCAAGGCGTTGTGGCTACCTTTTCGTGTACTGTCACATAAGAGAACGATCCCCCGCTTATATAACGCATATTTCAACATCTTCACTCATAAATCTTCAACTTACGCCTTGGCTTCTAACAAATGCCTAATCCTTTTTCATAGAAAGGTCACGGGGATGCCAAGAAATGAGCAAAACCCTCGGATCCTCCGCTAAGCTTCCAACCGGCGATTACACTTGCCGGGGGCTCAAGTGCTATCCACTTCACTAGCCAAGGACTTTGATTTGCCTTTCTCTAAGCGATGTTTTCACTATGCACGTTGACACCCGAGCTCTATGCTAACGCTATTCAGCAATTGTATAATCTTGCTATAATAACTTGAAATAGAATATTGCTCGTTTTTGAATAGGGCCAAGTACTTCTCTGTTTTCTACCGATTTACCTACTGAAAAGGAATTTACTACCTACTATGTTCAACGCGTGTAGCGAAGTGCTCAGAGGTGCTCTGCAACACACTGGTTCGGTATAGAGCTCCAACATCACCAAGCGTTCCATCTCTTCGGGGTCGATAAATTGGTATTAGACCTGTCTAGGAGGATATCAGCACTTCCTCTATACCTCGGTAGGCCAGCCCGAGTCACTGCGTAGGCCAGATATGCATTCAATCACCTCCAACGACACTTGATGAAGTCGAATGCACAGCACGTCGACTGATAATTATTAAGAGTTTTATCGTCCTATACTTCTTCACTATGTTCAGTACTACTGTTGGTGCAGTCAGTTCCCCATGTCTAACCTGTGTTCCTGGTTTCGCTGTTGTGATTGTTGGATGGGATCGACATCTCGCAACAAAACGTCATAATGGTGGAGCTCAGCTTCCTGGCTCATCAACAACGAAAGGCAAATCCTAGCGGGGCTCGTTACAAGTACAATAGCAGTTCATAAAGTACCCATTTACTGCACACTATTGGATTTCATCACTTTTTTTCGAGATTTTTAGTTAGGAACAGCAGATTTTACAGTAGAGCACGATAAAATATTCCAAGCTTTTTCGTTGCTACAAGTAAGCCTTCCTTTAAATTGAAATTTTCCTATTACAAGTACCATATATGGCGCACAGGATTTCACTCCACTGGCTTCTGCTTTCCTCATTAATCCTGTGCAAGGGAATCAACAGTAGACTAGACTTTGTATGCCTAGATACGGAGCGCATGAATTCAAATCTTATAATATTCTACAAAAATAAGCTATTTATCAGTTTACTCAGACAGTGGCAGTGATGTCATTCGCCACGAGAACAGCGTTGGTTCAACTGCGTCCCGATCTCATCAAGCCCTCATCTATCCATGGTTTTGGAAATGGTGCCAGACTTGCCTGCGAACCGTTCACTTTCTGCGATTCAATTGAGAATGTTCTAGCCTGGTTATCTTAGGATTCCAAGAGAACTGACTCTACCAGCTTTCAAAGATACTCACAAAGAAGAGGACAATCTTCAAACAGTAGCCGAAACCACATGCGAATAGTTTATAGACCTATGTGGATGTACGCGAGAAAACGAATCGAATGTAAGAATTGCTACGACCCGAACAGTAAATATTAAAGCTGTTTGTGTAAAATAAAGAAGAAGTTTTAAAAAAAATTGGACCTACTTCCTTCGGTTACTAAGAAAAAGACAAAAGAAAAAGAATTGGAAAGAAAAGATAAAGAAAAGGGGAAGAACATAAAACGGATTTACTTCAATTATCTCCAGAAACTGAACTGATTTCATAAAGCCTTTGATTTCATTGCATGAAAACCTAACCTTTAACATTGACGAACGCATTGGCGTAAACGTAGCCGAGTGGATTAGAGGCGTTACACTGATAAACTCCAGTGTCAAGATCGTGGTTCAGAGACGACAACCTCAACACTCTTCCATTGTCCAACAGAACGCGACGAGGATCCTCATCCAGTTCTAAAATCGCAGCCCAACTACGTTTCTTTTATACATTTATAAGAGTAAACAGTACAGAGAGCCAATAGATTACTTCTGGCTGTTACAGTAAGAATTTGATTAGTCGGCAAAATCAATTCGGTGTTTGACCGCTTCCTTTGCTACTTCTTTTGACTAACGACGAATGTACATAGAGTTTACTTCGAGGAATAATATTTCGAAAATTAAACTCCTTCAGAAAAGGCGCAAAAAGGAAGCGCCAGAGAAACCACTGTGCCTTCTTACACATGGAAAAGTATGCTTATAAGCAGTAAATGTAATATTTTCTTCAGAAATGCCTGTTCATCTGCAGTTCGTGGCAGCCACTCACCGTGCAATGGCTTCCCGTTCATACTCCATCGTACGATCGGTGCCGGCCGTCCTGATGCGAGGCATTCGAGCTCAGTTGTGCTCTCTTCGGACTGCACAATGTCCTTCGGTGGATCGAAATCCCAATATGGAGCAGCTGGAATTACAATTCTTTCCACCATACACGGTTCGTTTTTCCAATCAAAAAACAGCCGCATGCAATTTTATGGCTGGCGGGAGTGAAGACGATGATTTTACACTAAAAAGAATATCTTGTTGGGAGCCATTTAGCATACGCGATAAGGGTTAGTTCAGGGATGAGACTTCCGAGTGAGATAACTCTAATCTTATGATGAATGCGCAAAAATAAAACTCGTCCGAAAATGAAGAACGGCACTGCTAGTTTTTTTTCAGAATAAACAATAAATGTCCCATAGCTAAACGAATTGTGGAATTGAGATCGAGCTATAGAATCCACCTAGAAGTGTATATGGTGTCACTTGCTACACTTTACTGCAGTTCCCTATCTAAACACATTGTTGTCATGATTTTGAAGGTTTTCACAACCTGTTTCGAGTGTTTCTTCGTATTTTCTATATCCTTTTGTTCCATACGATAACTTTCATCCATCACAATGAACAAAGGTGGAAAAACAGTGAACTATTGGTAAAAAGAAATCAACTTTCAGTGCATACATGATCACGAAGACGGTTTCGATATCCCCGATGGGAAGTGGAGGTTTTCAGGAGTAGAAAACCTGCGCTTTTGTAGAATTGGCTTTGCTCTACCGCCCTAGGAAAGTGTAAAAATTCGGGTTTTAAGAATCCAAGAAATCAAAAAGAAGCTTTGAAGAATGCCTTGTATTAGAATCATAACCGTCTTAGCATAAAAGAACGAACGTTGAAAAACTATGTAGACTTGTTCTTGCTGACTGGGGAAGTTTCTGGCTCGTTGATCCCATCTGTCGGATGAAGCACCGGGGTAGGTCGATGGTTGATATGCGACACATCATTCCATTCAATGACAATCACTGCACTCTGCCTGCAGCCGACACCTCGAGATGTCAGACGAAATTCAGTCGTATATCTACCGAGATAATCGATAAATTTATTTTAGGAGACCTTGAAAATCACTGTAATAACGGCTGCTTTGGGAGCTACTGGGACTGCGAACTATGCAACACTCACGATTGAAAATGTTTTTGGTGCCTAATTGAATCGTTCGATTGTGAACAGTAGGACACTTTATGACACATTTGGAAATGGTTGAACAAAATTAACCCTTTCGCGACCATGAATTTTGAATAATTCTTTCTACTTCTGTTCAGCAAACACGAGGTGTTATTTTATTTCTTTATTTAGGTATGAGGCTTAGGTACAAGCTGAGGCAAAACTCTAGAGACATTCTGGATTAATTCCAAGAATCCGAAAATGAACCGCATGGAGGAATGCCTCATTATTACGCGTGATATTGGACAGTATATAAGTCTGTTATTCTGATGGGAGGAGCACAATACGATTCCGTGTGAACTCTGTGCGGTTGGTCTCCACGTGACATATTTAGTGGAAGACTCATAGAAAGCGATGGGTGTGCAAAGACTCTGTGTTCAATGTGACTGAAATTTTGGTTCAGCATTTTCTCTGCTTGGCTATGGAGATGTTTGGCCGTGTAGATGGCAGTCAATTTGACCTTTCCAGGCTCTGAGGAAGGCGAAATCCACCGAAACGTCTTTGTATTGTAACAACTATTAGGTAGACAGGGTTGAGAAAACTCCATCTATTCCAATATATTCACGTAGATACACCACTTATTGATCCATAAAACCTCCACAACCCTTTGTGGTCAATCGATGTCTTGTCGAACACAATTTTTATACCGAGCCTGGTCCATGAATAGGTATTCTTAGCTATAAAAAATTGAAGGATAAGGCTCTCGGCGTTGATCAATCCATGAGGGATGCGCCATGCATTTGACTTCATTAAGCATAGTTTCGAGGTAATTGAATGCATATCTGGCCTTTACAATGACTCGCGTTGGCCCTCCGATGTATCGAGCCAGTTTTGCTGTCCTCCCAGACAAGCCTGGTACCAATTTGCCGACACCGGAGAGATGGGAGGCTTTGCGGGCCATGGGCGCTGGGATAGATTCCACACATGTATTACAGGTCGCCTACGACCACTACGTACATTGGTAGATACTTCGGTAGGCCACCGCGAGTGTAAAGGCCAGATATGCATTCAATCACCTCCAAACGGTGCTTAATGAAGTCGAATGCATGGCGCATTCCTCAGGGACTGATCAACGTCGAGAGCTTTATCCTTTTTATCTTTTTATCAATGAAGATGAAATATATAAATAAGCGCCATATTTAAAAAAAAAATACTCACCGTGCCGTTGCGAGTGGGGCTGCTCACGAGTTGTTCACGTAAGATGGCGAACGAGACCAACCCAAGTCAAAAAATCATTTTGAAATAAGGTACCAGGTCACGCGAGATTGTGAGGCATTCGGTTTCCGGTTCACCTGGTCCGAATGTCCGGATCATAGCGCACGAATCGAAAACATCAAAGCGCAAGGCGCTTGAGGCGTTTTGGATAAATCTAGAAAATCCAAAGATGAGCCGGAAAGACGAATGCCTCACTATAACATGTGACCTGGTGCTTGTGAGTTTCGCTTGCCGTCCCACGTAAGCAATTCGTGGCCAGTCCCACTCGTGGCGGCTCGTGAGTAGCCTTTTTGGTAATATGGCGTTTATTTATGCGTTAGATCTGCATTAATACTACAGATATTCCGCCGAATATAAGATTACTGTTACATAAAATACGCCTACGCTCTGAGAAAGGCGAAATCGCTGAAACGTCAGCTCCATCGTAATAAAGAAATAAAATAGCACCTTAGCTCTTGCTGGACAAAAATGTAAAAAAATATTTGATCAATGACGAGGTTAATTAAAAGTCGGTCGAGGAAATCATAAATACCTAGATTACGGAAGCACCGAAAAGAACAAAGTCGAAGCGAGGTCTCAAAATTAACTTGAAAACAATAATAGTCGGTGCAGTGTGTAGTGACTGGCTATGGCTTATCATTATGAATGTGTAAAATTAGGTCCACTCGATGTATTTCTGAAAGCTGGAGACGCCCAGGGAACGTCACACCAAAAATCACTTCTCCTAACTTCTAATGCGACGATCGAACTCACCTAAAACTCGGACGTTGACGGTGTGCGTGAGCTCTCCGGCCCTGCACTCATAGTGACCAGCGTCCTCCGGATGCACGTTCTCGACAACCAGTGCCTTCCCGAATTCGCTCTCAACCGACGTCAGATCCTTCAGTCGAGTTTTCGGCAAATTCCCATCCAGTTTCGACCAGTAGACAGTGGGAAGCGGCCTGAAAACCAGCTATCTTTGAAGACGTTGTGCTCTCAGATGAGCTCCTAGTTAACATTAAATTATCCTCTTCCTCCTTTACGGATTATATTTGCTTACGAAATCAGATAAAAAAACGCAAGATAGAAAAAAGAGAGCTACAAATAAAACCATAATTGTTCTAATGTTCATAATTTTATCGCATCAATGTTCTAACATCCAACGTTTTAAATCGACAGTTATCGACCATGTATTACTCTGTGCGGCGGCTATCCACCAACTAACTTAAATACTTACAACAAATAAACGGCTCTGAAGAAGGCGAAACCGCCGAAACGTCAGCTATTGTGTTCTAATAAATTCTATATTAACAACCTCGTGTCTGCTTATTGAAGAAAAACATTGAATTATCAATTAATGCCGAGGTTAACAGAAAGTCGGTTTTGGGAATTACAACGTTTTAAATATTCTAACATGGTTTTTATACAGACTTCCTCAATGAACTCTTGAATGCACTAAGAATGTTTAGAACATCTAAAACTCAAATATTTTGTCTGCAAGACACTTTATTTTGTTATTTTCCATTGAGAAAATTTTTTTGTGTTTCCGAAAAAGTCAACTTCACCTTCCTCCAAAGATGCACATCAGTCGAAGTTTAGCGCCGGCCTTCACGGTCACCTCGTCAGGGCTCACGTATAGTTTGTGAACAGCCACAGTCTTATTTCCTTAAAGGCAACACTTCATCCAGATGTTTTTCCTTAATTTTTACTTCTACCCAGCTATGTGCAATATTTGAATATTTTTTTTTATTTTTTTTTCATCGGCTGTGATGAAGACGAAGACGTCGAAACATCAGCCGAATAAAGATGGTTTATCAACCTCGTGTCTAAACTTATCAACAAAAAAAGAATAAATGCCTCAGTTTAACTAGATTCAATAATTTCTGTTTCCCAGATCAATCTCGCTGATGGGTGATTGCTGATGGCAAAAGATCAATAGAACTAGCTGAGAGACAGGCAAAACGAAGAACCCAGATGGTGTGGTGGTGAAGTGCGCTATTCCTCGGAAAGGATAATAGCGCGTTCCTTCCCCACCGCGTACACCTGCGGTCCGGAGTTTTGCAAATATCTCAGCATTATACGGGTTAATAATGCAGTGTTTTCTTGATCAGGTAGAATAGGTAGGAAAATTGGCTGAGAGAAACGCATAGCAAGGCACTCTGTGGCGCAGTGTGTAATGTGCGAACTCCCTGAAAGAAAAATCGTGGTTCGATCTGGTCACGGTCTACGTTTTGCGAATATATCAGCATCGTCATAGGTGCCTCCTTTCGTGTCTATTAGAAAATCTTGTAGTCTCTTGGTATAAATATATAGATTTGACTTCGTGGATTTCTATGGTTTCCTCACAAACAAAGAAGGCGGTAAGAGGGAAAGGCCACATGCCACTTTGGTAATTTTCTGAACTTACTTGAATTCTTTAACTGTCTTTCTTTACAAATCACGAAGAATTCTTTAAACTTCGGCAAAATTTCCTTTGAGTGGTACTTTACAGCTTACGAAGGATTTTCTTCCTCTGGATTCTATTAGTGGTTGAGCAGGACCTTCCAAATTTCGTCATCAGTTGCTGGTTGGTGACAACGCTTTTGCCAGGAGGCGGGTTACTGGCCGCCCAAATGGAATTATCGAACTCCTTCTCGGCTTGGGAAAGCCTGTTGGGGAGACTCCCAAATGCACATCAAAGCTCAACTCCACAGAACGCAGATCAGTCGTGCATGAAAAGGAGGAAATAAGAAGAAGCAAATCAGAAAACTTTTTTTCCACAAACTAAGGATGGAGAGAAGGAACAAAGGCGGTGCGTAATACTAATCTTCTACTTCGCGAAGAAAGAAGGCGCGTGTAGTGCAGCGATTAGAGGAGCCTTGCAATACACATGTGGTTGGTCCAAACGCCTAAGGTTCACCAGACACTTCATCCCACCGAGGTCAACAAATCGGTACCAGACTTGTTTGGGAGGGTTATTAGCAGCACTGGTAGGCCACCACGAGACAGTGTAAAGGCCAGTTATGCGTTCAATCACCTGCAACGATGGTTGATGAAGTTGAAAGCATGGTGCATCCCTCAGGATTGATCAAAGCCTAAAGCTTTGCCCTTTTTTTATTTTGTAAAAAGAATGAATAATGACCATCTGACGAAACGTTGACATCAAACTTTACGAGACACAGGAGGACTTTGAAGACGAGGATAGAGGGTCATAAACAACCTACTACTATCGACGAGAAGCGAAAAGAACCCTGAAAATAGATCAGGTATGAATTAAACAAAAGGAAAAAAGGAACATGGTTATGAAATTTCTGCTCTTGGTTTTTTTTGTATTATAATATTCAAGTAAAGTTGGAATGCAACAGTCGACGACGTCTGCATATTGATGGTCAAAAATATAGCGTTTAAATATTTACTGAAGACAAATTTGTATAAGAAGAGCACTATGACGTCTTTTCCATCTCCAAAAATTAAACCATTCACCATGAAGGTTAAAAGAAACCAGGAATTCTGCGTTGACCAAACCCTTGCGGATGCTCCATACATTCGACAACATTGAATAGGAGATTGAATGCATTGTTGAGTGTTTCTACCCTCTCTGACAAATCTTGTGTCAACTTTCTGACCTCGAAGCGATAGAGGACGTGGTTAAGTCAAAGGGCAAGATCGAACCAATGGTCACAGCTTTACAGGACATCTCTAATAACTCTACTACAGGTGTCCGTTCACAGTAACTTTTAAAGCTTTGAAAATCACTACAGGAGAGAGCTGTCCTTATTCAATGGACAAAATGTAGCAAGAGAAAGAAAATTCTCACACTAGGGACCTGGAATCTCGTGCTGACGAAGTGAAGAAAAAATATATCTTGTTGGCAGATCGTGTAAACTTTAATGTTTTTTATTTTATTTGCATTTCTGTACATTCGTAAAGTGCCCAACTCTGTTTCCTATCAAGAGAATTCGATTTATCACTACGCTCAGTACTTTGCTGAAAATTTCTCTACCGTGAAGAGGCGAGGGGCAAGAAAGCCTTGACAGCAGGCCATAATTTATAGGACTCATTGGCTCCTCTACGGTTGCTGATTGATTGGACAAAAGTACTACGCATTAATTCACTCGTCTAAGCGCTTTGTCCATTCGACAAACGCGATTGGCCATTGAAATGGCGAGTGTCGGCCATTTTTAAACAGCCGTAGTGAAAAAAAGAGCGGCAGTGACGCTTAGTGGGTGGCCAGAAGTAACTGGCCTTTAAATTAATGGAAGACAAAGAATTTTGATAGTGGATCAGTAGGACGTAGCAGAGTTTATTAGCTCATGACGCAGTGCCGGCGAGTTCATTTCAACGCGAGCAATTCGACTTTCCGCCTGGACCTAAGGCATTTCTGGTAGTGCACGTGGCTCTAAGACATTCCGACGGTTTGGATAAGGCTGGATGATTTCAGTATGAGATAGTGTCCTAAAAAAAAGTCAGCCATTACTAATTCACATCGAGTCCTTGCGTTAGCAACTCACTTTTTAGAAATAAAACAATTCCTCCTCTTCGACCCAATAAGAACCTTGATTCGTCTGAAAAGTGCTCATATACCATAGTTCAAGCCACTTTCTAGCTGATTTTATTTTTCCCAGTGGTTCTCTGCGATCACAGAGTGTTCCTACAAATCCGCGATTTATAACATGAGTTGTTCCACCAAGAAAGTATTCCCACGTCCTTGATCCTGAAACCTTCTAATCGGTGAGTCTACACCGCGGCGAAATCAACTCCGCTTTTCGTGGTTACCTTCTTGCCTAAACACTTTGTAGAAAGGCCGATATATATTCCTCGCTATGGCTCGGCACCTTATCGTAGTTGAAGGACGTTCCTAAATGTCGAAGTCCAATCTATGTCATGGGTTCATTACCCGGCAAGTTCTCTCCAACTGAGAAGAAAAGGGTGAGTCTATGCTACGGCAGAGTCAGTAAAAAGACAGAAATCGTACAAAAGTGTGTTTCTTAAGTGACTCCGGTGGATGTCGAAAACAAATGGACCTCACTAGTGCCTAACTCGATGATTAGCGGGACCACTTGTGTCAAATGATTTCACTATAGTTGCTTTCAAAATTTCCTTCTAAGCGAATCATCAAACGTTGGGCGTTCAAATAATATATCTAGAACCATGTTCACATAATTTTACAGATCATTCTTTTGCTTCTTCTTCATTTTTGTCTTCTTCTGCCTTCGCGCCCATGAAGAGCTGGTACTTCATATGAATGTTACGAGTAATTTATGGGGTGATAAATGAGACAGGCTAGTCAGGCCGAGGGCAGTAGACCGCTCTCCAACTAATTTAAAATCATACTATGGACGCCGACGTATAAAGATATGAACGATGAAGATCTTTAGAGAAACACTATTACACAAAATCATACACCATTGCTATTTCCCCAAAGTGTTTCCTTTCCCATTCCTTCACTATACGCTTTTCCTAGTACAACAACTGGCAAAAAAAAGCCGAGAAATCCTAAACATTTCGCAGTACTCATAAATTTTTGTGCATTGCTAGCAAGTTCGTAAGAAGGAAAGACGTTGATGAAGATGAGAAATGTTTAGAGCACTCTGAACACTCTAAGACACCAGCCAGTACGCAACCTCTTGCATGACAATCGGTGCATAACCAAAAACTCCATAATCTGCCCTGACGGCAAAGACGGTAATTGTATGAGTTCACCGCTGGATCACTCTGGATCCGCACAAAAGAAGATTTGGCCTTTAACCTTAATGTTAAACTAGAGACTACATTAGGGGTGCATGGGACAAAAAAACAAAATGATGAAGATACTTAAGGAAAAGTCACCATCCTCGCGCAAGAATCCAAAGCATCAGCGTGTAAAACTCTTAAAGCGTTTTAGACAAAATCTTCAGGCGTAAACAGCAAGGAGGAGTGCCTTGTGATAAAGTGTGACTTAGCGGTATACCTCAGACCTATTTTTTAACCTAAGCCAGGCACATTCCTCGCCTATGCAGGTCTCAATGCGGCTGGTATACACCGAATAACTGGAAGACTTACGTATAACAAAATAATGAGTGTTTAGAAAAAGCTGTTTACCACGCGACTAATATTTTAAGTTAAATTTTTGCGTCATTCTGTTTGGGTTATGATAGTGCTTAGCTGAGCAGATTGCTTGTCCATTTAACTCTTCTAGGCTCTGAGGAAGCGAAACACCAGAAACGTGAGCTAGTATTGCAAATCTTATTCTTGACAACGTGGTGTCCGTTCATATTGAAAACATTGAATTATTCGGCAATTCCGAGATTAGTAGAAAGCCTATCAGGGTTACTAGGTTAACATTCTGAGTTCAAACAATTATTTCACAAGCACAAGACAACGGCAAATTCCCGTTGCCGTGATAAAGCAAAAACCGCGACAGATATACGTATACGATTTTTATGTTCGTTGAAATAAAACGGAGTGAATACAGTTTAAATCGGAGTCAAAACCAAACTACCTCCTGTTGGTGTCACCACCAACTGTACATGGTCCCCAGAGCGGTATTCGCCATGAAGCACTGGAGAGCCGGCTGCACATTCATAGACGAGATTCTGAACAGATCGTCTACTTTCAATTGTATCACTACTAGCATCTCTTAGAACCTTCCACTGTTAAAAAGTAAGCATAGTGAATCGCCTCACTGGTCGTCCATCGTCCAGTTCAACGGATGCGAATTGTAGTTTTCCGTCTCCGTCGACGGTGATGTGCTTGCGCCGGATCGTCTCAATCACTGATCCATGCTGAGTGTCCCTGAGATAAAACTTATTCAGCAATACTTGGCAACCAAAAACTAACACCGTACACCAAAATTCCGTGCTTTTTCCACCGTTTGGTAGTGATCATCTCAGAACTCCACACATATAGCACGATGATGACAACCATTATGAGTCTTCGGAAGAGAAACTCACTTTTGAACTCTTCGTGTAAAAAATAACTCAATAGCAGCGCTTGCAACGTGAAACAAGAATTTTGTTTTCGGCAACTATACGCTGGTGTCATTGTTGTCATAAAAGTAGCAGCTACTGGAACGTCGTCGGAGAAAAATAAGGTTTTGTGGAACTCCATCTCTCGTCAACTCAGCCCAACTCCATTTTTATCACTTTTTTGTCGTCATTTGGCGAAATTGTTATAGTTTTACACCTCTGATTCATTTTCTTCGATTCTACTGCTAAAAAATGAGGAGCTAAATTTACTTTAGCCTTAAAAAACGATCAATGAATGGAGTCCTTAATAGCCAGTTATTCCAGACGTAACGCGTTGCCCCCACAAATATGTCTCCTTGTACTTCTAAGTTTCGATAAACCACTAAAGCCACTTTTGAATATTCAAACTACGACGGCTATGCCACCAAGGGGCGCGTGTAGCGCAGTGGTTGGACGTGCCCTGCAACACACACGTGGAATCGATCCCCAAACCCATGGCTCACCAAGCCTTCCATCTCTCCGGAGTCGGAAAATTGATGCCAGACTTGTCTGGCAGGATAGCAGCACTGGCTTGATACATCAGTAAGCGACCACTAGTCACCGTGAAAGCCAGATATACATTCAACCACCTTAAAATGATGCTCAATGAAGTCGAATGCATGACGCATACCGCAGGGATTTATTAACGTCGAGAGCTTTATTTTTTTATGTCCACAAGACCACATAATTGTTTTTTGCCAATCGGATGCATGAGTAACGCAAAATTTTGAAATTTAGTCTAATTTGATGAATATTGATTTTTGTTTGTTATAGATATCGCTATGATTCCTTTCTTTGTAGGTAGCCAAATGCTCCAGTGATTACTCCGTTCTGTTGCACACACGAATGATAGAACAAAAGGAATAAACAAGTAAATACGTCACTTGGTAGGAATAACTTCAATACGACCGAAAATTTGCATTGCTCATGCATCTGATGAGCTGAGAGCAATTATCTGGTCCTGGTGACGTAGCCGTCGAAATTTGAATATTCAGATGTGGCTTTAGTGGTTTATCGAATTAGCAAGGATAATGCACATTCGATCTCAATTACCCACTTCGGACCCGAATGACCAGCAACGCTTAAATGTGCGCTGCATCAATGCCCCCTCCCCCTCCATCCAGAACCATCTGAAAGCTTTTCTAGTGGTCTGCATCGAACCTGTACAGCCAGAACAAAGTCGGCGGTGGAGTGCCTCTGGGTGGTATGCACTCGATCGTCAGCGAATCGCCCTCCATCACTTCGATCCGCCGAACTGGTCGTGGTGGAAAGTGCTCCAACTCTGAAACGATCTCTTGCGTTGTTTTTCGATTCAGCACAAGTACATTAAAAGCAAGGTGGTAGCTTCGTATGAAGAAACAGTATTAATAAAGTTTTCAACCCCTACTCAATTTTTGAGAACTTTTTTTAAGATCTTAAATATAATGGTGCTAGGGATTTTTGGGGTTCAATGGTTTTGGCGTCCTGGCGTCTGCTACTGCAGTGATGATTTTCTCATTGAATGTGTGTCGCTGCTCGTAAATTCCCACGAGACCACCAGTATCCCTCGCCTTCCAAATGCTCCTCATTTAATCAGGCTTTTTTTTTGTTTCACCACTTACTTGGTCTCCTCTGCCTTTCCTTCACTTCAGCACAATGAGAACGTGGGTGTTAAAGAAGTTGGACCTGCTTAGCTACGTTATTCTTTTTTCCTGAGCATTAAAAAGAAATGGAGCTTTTAGTTGAAGTATTCTGGTAAACGTCATCACCAATTGTTGTCAAAAACCAGTAAAACTTAAATGCCATGAAGGCTTTGTTGTTATTTTAAAGCTGATGCACCATAGAGTTTTATAAAAACGAGGTCCAGTGAAAAGACTAGCTACCGGGTCATGATTGAGAGAAGCTGTCGATTCATGATAATCCATAACGCTTATCACTAAAGGACTTGGTGAAGTTCCTGGTCGGTTCAATAAAGTTGCACTGAGGGTTAACATCGCCAGTGACGTTTACCAGAAAAGAAAAAAGTAGGAGAAGAAATGTGACATGAGAAATGAACATTCTGGTTCTGGGTTCCTTTATAGGACAAATAATTTATGGAAAATAAAGAGAAATGCAAAGATGGTCATCCTGATCATCCTGATCGTCAGCCTTATTTACAACTTTTGTTGGATGTTGTACGGTAATGACCATATTCCGAGCTCATCAACAAAACTTAGTAACTCCGAGCAACTGCTAAGAAAAGACTGTCGTTAGCGCTGCTTCTTCTACGTGTATCTGACCGACCTACGAACATGTGTCGATACCCAGATAAAATGAAATGGCGGTATAATTTTTGTTGGAAGAGACAGCCCTCCATGGGGCTCCCTCCATCTTCCAACAAGACGAATCTAAGTCGTCCTTGTCTACGCGACCCTTCGCATCGCCGACGTAACCACATTGGCGACAGCCATGCGAGCGGCGGAAAGTCAATTCAACATGGCTGAACTGGAACTACGGACGAGAAAATGACTTGTTCGAACGTAATTAAATAAAAGTCTGACGTATGAAGAAGTGACGCAGTTCTTCGGGCTTCATGGCCCATTTGGCAACGCTAAGAAGTTCTACCTCATCTTGTACGAACGACTACTCGATTGGGAGGAAATCTTTCCCTTGAAAGCAGCCGACTTAGTGAACGTGAAAAACAACAACTGAACTGACCTTGAAACTTGGGGTTTTCTTCAAAAATTTTTTGAATCTTCCATTATAAAATGAAGTTTATTTGAAATTTAATTGCAATAAGGAGTGCACTTTAGCCTTCTTTCTGTCCGTTTTGCACCATTAAGGCAAATGATTGACACTGTGGACAAGTTCTCAGTTTTCTTCAAAGCTGCTCATTAATAAAAAAGTTCATCACCATTAATTTCGAAGTATTGTAAGGAAATGGGGTCCAAATGATTAATCTTAGCCATTACATGCAGCTAAGGAGTGTGCATTGGAATGTTGTAAAAAAAGGATAAATATCATGGCGTTATCATTCTCTGAGGGATGCGCCCTGCATTCGACTTCATTAAGCATCGTTTGGAAGGGATCGAATGCATATCTGGCCCTTACAATGACTCGGGCGACCTACCGATGTATTGAGCCAGTGCTGCTATCCTCCCAGCCAACTCTGGTACCAATTTGCCGACCCAAGAAGGAAGGCTTGCTGTGCCATGGGCGCGAGAATCGACCCCCTGTGTGTGTTCTGGGAGACATCTCCGACCACTGCACCACATATGGCACTACGGCACAATATTTTGTCATTCTTATTCGTTTCAATCCACCACACTTTTCAACCGTTGTCTAAAATATGTGACCATTTCTGCGTCATTAATACGCCGAGTTGTGGTTCATGTCTTCCACGAGAATTCAAAGAACGGAAGTCGCTCTAACGATCCCGAACAAATTCTGTTGAGGACTAGAAACTTAGTGGCTGCTGTGTGCTTCCATACACCTTCTTCGAAGAAAATCTGAGAATATGGATTTTCTCCGTCGCGAATTCAATTGCGTTTTTTCGCCTACTCGTTAAAAATTTCTTTCGTCTATGTTCGCTTTGACCTCTCTTTTTCGTACAATCCTAGGAAAATAAGCTGCGGTTAGAATGTTCCAGAATTATAAGCACAAAGTCGAATGTCCCTTTACAAAAGCTTTGTTTTCTAATAGTAAGTCTTCAAGCCCAGTAAAATTGTCGATACAGTAAATCTTTGGGAAATAGGAAGTTACAAGTGAAACTACTAGGATAAAAAAAAAACGAAGTGTAACAAAACCTCCGAGTCTTAGATGGACTTTGTTGGAGACAGCGGTGCCGAAAATATTGGAAACAAAACACTGGTAATAGCCTTCATGACTTCGTCGTGGACGGACGAACTGGATGGTGCCGGACTGACCGGCGCGGATCCATTCGATGTCGCCGCCGACCTCCATCACCTCGCCGTTTTTGTACCATACAAATCTGAGAACACCCTAATTCAACTTAATTCACAAACATTGGATTCCCAGAAAGATGTCGATCCACTTTATCTGTTTTATTTCTTTTTCTGTTTTCTAAATCAGATTTCATTTCGTTCGCTTTCTCATTACGACTGGAGGCAAATTTGAGGTATGTTTTCCAAATGTAAGCAAAGCGCGCTATAGAAAAATTCAAATTAACCTATCTACACAAAAGTTCAGCCCAGAAAGGACTTAAAGGTTTTTGCAATGCAAACTAACGATTCTGCATTGTCCGACGCATGGCATCTGAGTATTGGCCTGGCCTGTGGGCTGAGATTTTCATCCAATTGATACCACACTTCTTCCGGTGGTTGCTCCAGAAGTTTTGGCGGTCCTGTAATATTTACAGTTCATTCAGTAAACTTAGAAGCATACTAAAAATGATAGACAATTGACATCTCTTGCGAAGAAAAGAGCAGGTGCAGCGATCCCATTACTTTTAATGAGTTGCATTTGCATAACAAAAAAACTTTAATTGAGAAATGAAAAAAGAGGTCGAAACGGCAAAGTGCTACCTCAGCTCTAACTTTAAGGATTACTTTTTAAGATTATATGTTAATACTTATGGCTCTTTGTTACCTGATAATGGCACCGGATGGATTATCCGGGAAAACCAAGTTATTAGCACCGGATAATCACTGCTATCAACAATCGGCATCCTGTATAAAAGGGCACCACCAAGTGAGTACGCTTCATTCGAAAGATGGTCCACTGAGGAAGGCTCAACTCAATACGAAGGCGAAGACGCCACATCGAGACAAAGAACAACCGTTTGCTATCGACTCGGATCATCGGCTCTGATGAAGACGAAGACGTCGGAACATTAGCCGAATGAAAATTGCTTGTCAAACTCGCGCAAGTTTATCAAAGAAGGAACACGCTTTACTTATTGGATTCTATGCTATGGCTTAAAAGATTGTACACAAAGAAAGGTTCGAATGAATGACATTATACTTTCACGTGATTTCTGTGCGGTTGGTCTCTACGTGACATACTTAGTGGAAACCTCATAGGAAGCGGTGAATGTGCAAAGCTGTGTTCAAAGTGATTGAAATCTTGGTTTGGGGTTTCTTTGTTTGGTTATGGAGGCGTCTGGCCGAGTAGATTGCTATCAACTTGACCTTTCCAGGCTCTGAGGAAGGCGAAATCCGCCGAAACGTCAGCTTAATCGTGAACAAAGAATAATAACACCTCGCGTTTGCTCAACAAAAATACGAAGAAAATGACTTGATCAATGCCGAGGTTAATAGAAAGTCGGTCGTGGCAGTTCGAATGAATGTTGAAATTAGCTTAACAAGTATTAGACTCATTTGAAATAATGGGGAAATAGAAATAAAAAATGATAAATTTAGCACGCTTAGTGTTTAGCTCTTGTATTCTGAAGTCATTACGATGCTCTGTTATTCGTTAAGGTCAAAAGCACCTAACCAGTCACTTACCGAAAGAGTTGGCAGCATAGACGTCTAATTTTGGTGCGAATACCAACAACAGAATCGTCAGCATCTCATCTGGACTCTGAAAAACTCTGCATCATGACGGAAGTAACTTTGTCGTAGTAGCCGGGAAGTGGTGAGACCCGAAATAATGACCACTGGAAAAAAAGCGGCGACAGCTAGCGTGATGGTGGTGGAGGCGGTGAAAAACTGGTGGCATCCACTCGTTCCCAAGTTACCGCCCACTTTAAAGATATTACAAAAAAGTTTTGCCTGAGGGAAATGGAACTGGCTGTAGAGAGACGAGGAGCGACTCCAAAATAATGAAACTAAGTGAACAGAAGCAATGAGGATAATTGTCCAACAATGTTGATGTGAAAATTTGCTCAATCAAAAGTGAATGAAAATACTTCAAAATTCGGAGAAATTTAGCCCTGAAGTATGAGAGCTAAACTAAAGGCTGAAAAGAAAGCATTTTCATGCACCGAATTTATCATTCATCACGCATCAATAGTTTTTAGAAAGAGATTTCGAGTCGAAATGCTAGATTGCTAGATTCTCTTAACTAGGAATGCAATCAGAAGCGCCTTCCACTCAGCAACAACGCTTTGTGATGGACAGGCTTCTTGGGAATCTCGATGACGTCCGCAATCATCTTGGAACATAGACGAAATACGTTGCATAGTTCACTCTTTTTCGAAGGAATCATAAAGAGCTCAATGATTTATTGATAGCTCGGGAATCTGAAGAGTAAGAACAGCTCTGATTGGGAGAAAATAACGGAGACAAGCCATCGATATGTCGTTTGTCGGCATAGAAAGATGACGGCGAGAAGATTCGGAGACAATCTAATCAAAATGTGCTATTAAGAACCGCCGTGCTGAAGAATCATAGCTGTGTGGAATAGCATATGCTATCCAGACATTTGCATGTAGGCTTATTACGACATTCACCACAATTAGGTGCTCGGGTGTTCCCGTAAGCCTTCACGCAATGCTCTCAGCTCCCGCTTGCAACCTACACCTGCTCCTGCGCTAATAAACTCAAGAACTAATTACGAACCGTCGGTGGAGCTGATACTAGTATCTAGAAAGATGGATTGCTTACGAAAAGCCCTTCAGGAATAAGAATCGGCGCTATCAACCAGAAGGATTAAAGCAGATTTTCTGATAACCGGTAGCAGTTATGAATGCGCAATGCAAATCTTCTCTCACGTCTTCCTTAATAGTGCTGAAAACCCAGCTCTCTGGAAAGCTTTGTAATAGTGTTCACAGAAAACTGGGTTACTGTTGAATACTATGTTATCAAAACATATGGTAGTCGCCTTTCATCTTCCGATATAATGGTAAGCCCTATGTTTCCTATAACATACGAATCTGAACAAGAAATACTTAAGTTCGACATGAGGGAAGATGTTCTGCGGGAACATATCGAATCATAGGCGTGATGCGACGGCGCTGGCCGCTGCCCTTCCGGAATATAGAATGCGCCTTCAAAGTTAAACCGACGGTGGCTAATGACGACCACAATGATTCTGGATTCCCGCACGAATCTTTTCAAAGCCAACTGCCAAATTTGTACTACAGAGTAATGAGATTATTGAAAAATTTTCGCTAATAACGGCTGCGAATGAAGAGCCGAAAGCGAATCAGTGTGATTTCGGAGAATGCAACGATTGGACACTTCCGACGTTTGCAAAGGACAGAGTTGAATAGAGCAAATTAGTGCCTTTAGAGGACGATATAGTGACCTCATCTTCAAGAACAACGAGATTTCTGTAGTCATAGAACCAACAGGAAGTGGAAGACAAGGCTCTTTTTCAAATGAACACAACGTGGGCATAGATACTTTAGCAACAAATGAGGAAGAAAGGATTGCTCATATATATACACATATATATATACATATATACATATATAAAAATGCATGTATACATACATATATATACGTGCATATACACATATATACATATATATATATATATATATATATACGTGTCTATATAAATATGTATGTTGTGCAGTCTGTGCTGACATGCATTATGGAAGTGCACCTTTGACACCTTCTACAGTACGCCTTGTTATTGCTCTTTGCTAGCTGATAACGACACCGACTTCTGCAAAATGGATTATCCAAAAAACAACTTATTATCACCGGATAATCACTAGTACCAACCATCAGCATCCTGTATAAAAAGGCATCACCAAGTGAATATGCATCATTCGAAAGCTGGTCCACTGAGGAAGACTCAACTCGATACGAAGACGAAGACGACACATCGAGATGAAGAACAACCGTATGCTATCGACTCGGATCAACGGCTCTGATGAAGACGAAGACGTTATCCGAATAAAAATTGCTTATTAAACTAGTGCAAGCTTATCAATGAAGAATTACGCCTTTCAATTCCAACGTAGAGCATTGAATGTGTCGTTTTCTTGTTCAGCAATCGCGAGGTTTTTAAACAGCATACACTTACTTCCATAGAAAAACACAATACAAGATGAGGAAGTTTAGAACAACTGATTATAGTCGCATATGGTTGACGACCTAGAGCTTTGAGCCTCAAGATTCTGTTTTTGGACTGAAGCATACCTCAACTTGCAAGCACTTTCTATCTGGAGCCTACATCTTTGTGTCTTATTCTGCTTCATACAACGGCATTAATTGTTTAGAGTGACCTCTTTTTTGAAACCACAGAAGAAGTTGTAACAAAAAATGTCTCTGCTTCTTTGAAAAATCACATATTTCAATGAAACTAAACATTTTTGCAAAGTTCTAAGATTTGCTTTGAAATTTGCCAACCTTCAAATGCACATTACAATTAGCTCCTACAGAGTTTTCAACAGTGATTTATTTACTTGTACGAATATATACGAATTATCGTTTTCGATTCACTGCAATTCTAATTTCACTATAAGTGCCGACGATAAAGATTTTAGATGACCTTGGAGTTCCTTAGATTCTGAGTGAACTTCTTTAGATGTAATCTTCCCGGCGAAAGACACGCGAAAATCCAGAGAGAGAAAAGCAACTGGCCCGCAAAAAGAGCAAAGGCCGGACCGGAATCTCAAAGTCAATTACCAATTGCTTCAATACTGACTGGCTGAAAAACAACTGCTGTGTGGTGCACTGGGAGAGCGGCCAGAAGTGCCGGCGTGCGAGAGTATCCCTTTGAGACCAACTTGAAACCGATCCAGGAGAATCGTTGTCAATCTGAACTGGAGAAGTTCGAACTCAGTTATCCACTGCATTCGGACTCAGCTCAAGCTGCAAACAAATTTTTCCGCATCGTTAGAGACCAAAAAAAGATTCGCCCGTCGAAATCTGGCAAAATGCTGCAGTAGGAAATCTAACTATCTAGTTAAAGGACCTTACTGGTAGTTGAGTGTTACATCTCTATGAAGAGTCAGGGGGTATCAACTTACTTACTCTTGACCCTAAGGTGCTGGTAAATTCGTGTCAGCCGGCTCTCAGTTCATTACACTTGGCAGATTCTACGCCTTGTGGATCGAAGTGATGGTGGCCACCATGTAAGTGGGTTTTTCAAAGATTGTTGTCTGAGACAGAAATTGACACCTAGATGATCTTGTAGATGAATATGCCGATAGAAAACCTTCTCAGATTACATGTTCCTGCTACGAGATCGACGTCAAGTTGTGTTACACAGTTCGGAAATAAGGAACAACCTTTATTCACAGTTGAAGATATTTATGCAGTAGTTTAAAAAAGGCCTTAAAACTGAACATGCAACGGATATTGGTAGGTGACCATGACAACTATCTTTTCCAACTTTTTAGTTTTTTTACATTATAACACCCGAGATGATCTTTTAATAAATAGGATATCACCTTACTAGTGGCTTTCGTTGCTGTTTCTTTCGTATGAAAAGGCATAGCGCTCCCACTATCGTATATCGGTCCCATATGCTTCTTGCCCCCAGTAGAGTGGATTTCTGTCCTATATGCGCTAAAAAAAGGGATTGTAGCAGAGTGGTTAGAGGTGTCCACTACCATACAGGTGGTTCATAGTTCAATCACGTTCCAGGTTAACCAAACACTCTGTCTCTACAGAGTCAGTAAACTGCTGCCAAATTTGTCCACAAGGACAGAAACACTGACTTGATACACCGATAGGTCTCCGCAAATCACTTTACAGTTTAAATATGCATTTAGGGACCTCTATAATGCTATGAATGGAAGCAGATACGTGACGCATCCGTGAAGGGTGGTTCTACCAAATCTCGTAGAAGCAGCTCGTGATCGGTGACAAACTCATGACGCTGGTTGGGTCACTGGTAAAAATCGGTGGTTTTCGCGTTCTCGCACGTCGAAAAAAGATTGCTTCCTTTGTTCACTCATACTAAAAAAAAACCTTAAGTAATTAGCACTAGATAATAACTAGAGGGCAAATAGCATAGTGGTAGTGATGCTCTTCATCACGATCATGGTGCTAGCTCTATTCCGCTCTGGGCCAATTAAAGTACTTATCCTTCTGGTGTCGAGAAATTGGTGTGGGACTTGTTTGGGAAAAATTTATTCTCTGCAATTCAACTGGGAACGCTCCACCCAGGCCATCTCAGGACTTCAGGGAGAATTGCTCTATCAGCATTTTATGACATTCAAGATGAAATGAAAATCCACAAGCAGCAACCGGAGCCAAACCCAAAAAGTTGGAAGATCTTCGTAGACAATGGATGCGAGGAAACAAATCGAATGTGAGAAGTGCTGGGAACCTCACAGTGGACGTGAAGGCTGATCATATAAAATAATAAAAAAATTTGAAATAGATAATCTGCTAGATGCCTGGGTTTTTCAACAATAGCCTCAGGAAACGATGATCTACGGATGTAGAAGATAAAACTTAAAACGGGTGACGAAAACCTTGAAATTCATGAATACGATATGAAGCGGAATCAATAGCTTCGCCCTGTCTTAGAATGAAAACTTTTATCGCCACGGATCAGATGCTTGTTTACGCTTTAACTTACTCATTCCTCCATGCGATGAAAGCCATGATTCAGAACCTTTTATTTTTGTTGTTAGCAGGTGGATTTCAATCTACAAAAAAACTAACTGCCTTCCAGTTGAGCAGGAAATTCCGACATGTATGACAGTCGCTTGTTAAAGAGGTCAATTAAAGCTGAACAACTGCATTATATAAGAAAGAATAAAAAATATTCTGTTCTACTTGTGAAATCGCTGGGTTGATTCAAATGTTCTTCCCGCTCCCGTGCCCAGAAAAATTGCTATCCATTGTTAGTTTGTGTAAAGGTGCAACGGTGCACACACCATTTTGTTCGATGCTCTATTAGCTTTTTTACAGTAGCTACTCGATCACTCACTAGCTGAGTTTTTTGGGTTTTTGCCCAAAGAGCAATTGAGATGATTTCTGCAAACTAACGGAGAAATTGAACTGAGATCAGGTAGAGATTTGAGCAGATGATAACTGGATCATGCATCGTTTGATGAATAGTGTGGGTAAACCAGTATGCCTCAGCTAAATTCTGGAGTAACTGCCACGACCGACTTTCTATTAACCTCGGCATTGATCAATTAATTCTTCATATTTTTGTTGAGCAAACGCGAGGTGTTATTATTCTTTGTTCACGATTAAGCTGACGTTTCGGCGGATTTCGCCTTTCTCAGAGCCGCTTCCTATGAGGTATCCACTATGTAAGTTTCCACTTCTACTTAGTGGAAACCTCATAGGAAGCGGCTCTGAGGAAGGCGAAATCCGCCGGAACGTCAACTTAATCGTGAACAAAGAATAATAACACCTCGCGTTTGCTCAACAAAAATACGAAGTAAATTCTGGAGGTTAGAGCTAAGTCATAAAAAAATTGACGTCTAGCATTTTCGTGATGAAGCAGAACACATTTACCAACCACTGCTTCTGAAGGATTCTAGCTCAATAACCACTCCGAGTTATTCAACTGCTAGCAGTATTTGTACAAAATGAATGGAATCACTACCAGTGCCATCACAATTAGCATAACTATTCCAAAATTCCAAATGGAATCTACTTAGCAGGCATTCAGCGACAATAAAAATGAACAAAATGCAAAGCGTGAAGTCAAACACATATTCCAAGGCATTCGTGGATGGCGGATGCGAGGAAACCAATCTGAACTACTAGGGCTTGCGCAATATATGGCATCGCTTTGAGTAAAATACAATAAATAAATTAGATTTGTATTAATGAAAAACTTTGTTTTCTAGCAGATAACAATACAAAACATTAAATTTTATTAAAATAATAGTATAGGTTTCCTGAGTGTAAATTGTCTTTTCCTATGCGATGGTTTATCACCTCATGGCGGCCAGGTACTGATAGATAAAATCTCCTAGATGTCGAACTGCAACATACAATGGTGGTTCTATCTCACCCATCTTCATGACACCTAGGAAAAGGGTCCGTCCTAAAAGCCCAAGTAAAAGTACACCTACGCCACAGCAGAGCTCTACGAGCTAACATAGTTTGCCCTATCTCCAAGAACACTAAAAATAGAGTCGTTGGTGAAAAGTGTGACAGGGTTTGGGATGCTCGCACCGGTGGATTCTTTGGGCGACTGATCTGATTCGTAACGAACGCAACCGATGGAGTTTTCTGGTGCTCGCTCGAGTCATTTGATGACTAACAAAATTACGAATGATGCAGGAATTTGGGCTTTGATTTCATAAAGGGAGCTTTTGCTCCTGTGCCACGATTTTTCCACTTGATGTTGTTAGACGTCGCTCGACCAATATCCGTCGCTCGTAATCATCACGGCCTCAAAAATGGATAAATTTGGTTATGCTTAAGGGAACTGCAAACGAATATTCGATCTATAGCATTCTTTTCGGGCAATTCATACGCATTGGTCGTCTTCCTTTCTCAGAATTTCCTGTCAGCACAAGACCAAGATTGAAAAAACACAGGTAATCAAGCTGCTCTTTTTTCTTAATACCTATTGCTTGAATCTGCTGTCCACCAGATCACAATACACGTGATATGGTAGAAGTTGATGACATGGAATTTGCTGCACGACGCTGTGGTGTGAGGACAAAACGGAATTTTTTCGGCTTTCCATGGATTTCAATGGATCCGATTTGAGATAAATCTCAACGAAGTTCGAAATGCAAAAATTCTATATATACGATATACAGAGCTTAGTGAGCATAATTATTTATCATTTCTTCTACAATTAAGAATGAGAATCAAAGCAAAGATACATCCTGTGACGTTGATCAATTCCTGAAGGAAGCGCCTTGATTTCGACTACGTTGCGCTTTGTGGAGATGATTGAATGAATATTGGACGTTGATGCGAATTTGGTCTAAACTGCCGTTGTTGTTGGCCGATTGCTGACATTTCGGAACTCGCCTTCCTCAGAGCCTGGACGTATTTTATGTAATAGTAGTCTTACAATTCGTGAAAAATATCTACAGTAGCAATAAAGGTCTAGTATATAAATGACAGCTATTTTGCTCAAAAAACTATGCACCTTGGTTTTACATGTAGGATCCAGACCCCCTTAGCTTTTGACGACACCACCACATCTCACACGTCCCACATGAACAACACATGGGTGATCCCACAAGGAACAACACGGTGAATGGGTTTTTAAACAAATTGGCGACTATTTATACACTAAATTTTTACTAGTACTTCAGATATTCCACCGAATTATAGAGGTGTTGTTCCAACAATACGTTCGGGTTCTAAGTAAGGCGAAGTCAGCAAAACGTCAGCTCTCGAACAACAATAATAACGGCAACAGCGACGGCTTATACCAACCTCGCATCAGTTCAACAAGGGCCGTTCGTAGAAATATTATACATATATATACATACATATATATATATATGGATAATCTATTTCTATCCCTCTCCAGAAATCATGACTTTCACTTCAAAATTTCTGTCGTTGTAATTGTTTCCGATGCGTAGCTGGTAAAGAATTTCTTCAACGTTTAAGTAGAACTTGTGCTTTAAGTTATTTTATTGCGAATAGGAAAATATCTAAACGAAGAGATAAGGACAATGGATGAGGAGTTTGAAGTTAATCAATCCATGAGCGACACGTCAAACACTTTTTATCGCTCCTTCAGTAGAATCGTAGAGGTGGATGAATCCATATCTGGATTATACAATGACTCACAGGATAAATCAGTCAGTGTTTTTGTATTCTTCTGCCCTTACAGACGAGTCCGACACCGCCTTGCCAACTTCGGAAGGACGGAGAAAGATTTAGCCTTGCTGCGTGCCCATGTGATGAGCGGTTAGAGATGCGTTTCGATGCACATGACCGTTCGTCCGACTCCAGGTCACGATTATCGCGCTCATTTTCTTCGGGCAGATGGACAATATGCCAGTTTCTAGGCTTTATAGAGGATGAAAGGTTGAGGCTTTCAGCGCTGATCAATCCCTGAGGGATGCGTCCTGCATTCGACATCATTATGTATCGTTGGAGGTGATTGAATGCATATCTGGCCTTTACAATGACTCGCGGTGGCCTACCGATGTATCGAGCCAGTGCTGCTATCCTTTTAGACAAGTCTGGCACCATTTTACCGACCTCGGAGGGATGGAAGGCTTGATGGCCATGGGCGCGGAGATCGATTCCACGTGTGTGTCGCAGTGGTGCCTCCAACCATTGGGCCACACGCGCCCCTTATAATGGGTGAATTTTGCCAGAACATTGGGTATCGCAAAGCAGACAGTACAATAATGACCTAATCTAGAGTACTAGAACTTGTGGCTGAGTGCCAAGCATGAAATTATTGACAAGTTTAAAGGATTAAATTGCTAAAAGAATGCGCTTTCAGGGTGATAGCTGTTACAACATTTTTGTTGGATAACTAGCGATTGTTTGCGAGTGTGAAAAGGTTGTTTTGTTCACCAAAATAAGCCGACGGAAACAAAATGACCTTTATGGAGGTCATACCCGCCGTTGCATTTCCTAGCAAATGACTCCCATAGGGGTCATGTCGTCGCATATGTGTTAAAATCGAAAGGAGGAAGGCCGCCAGCTAACAGCCCTGAGGCGTTGTTTGCTGTAAGACGATACTATTGCTTCCTTCTGATAATTAAGTGATGTTTACACAGAACTAGAGACAATCGTTCATTCATTGGGACTCCATCAATAATCCTTAAGTAAGACTTGAGATTAGATTGGACGTTAATCCAAATAACTTTCCAAGGCCGACATTGTCGTTGAAAGATTGTAAACTTCTAACGGTGAAATAAATCTGAAAGATTTTAAATCGTTTAAAACAGCCTAGATAAGAGTGGTTTGTTTTAGATATTTTCATATAAGTTGTAAAAATGCTGGTCGTGCAACTTGGAACTCTGGAAAAGAACTCTTTTCATCGACCACGAGAAAAAAGTCTAGCCGTAGACGACGAAAACATTCTGAATGAAGTTTCATCCAAGACCCAAGATTGAAGAAGACCCGACCGAAGACTACGAGCTGCTTGCCGAAGGACTGAAAAGCTGTGCCGAATTCGCCTCAGTTCCTCAAGCAAGAAGATCAGATCGCATCTCCATCACTACTGAGGAGTTGCTCGAGAAGAGAAAGAAACTGAAGCTTGGTCCTACGGCAACACGTTCAACATGGCTGGTAATAAACGCCAGCTGAAGAAGAGCTTTGCAGCAAGATCTACAACGGTACAAGCAGAACAAAATACTGGAAGCAGCAAAGAAAAGAAGCAGTCTGAAAAAATTCCGTCAGGACTTGTGTGACTATAATGTTCTCCTGTCAGCCCTGCTGAACGAAGATGGGATCCAACCACAACGTTGCTGAGATATTTGCAAAACTCTGGACCGCAGGTGTTTATGGTGGAGAACGAACGCGCTATTATCCTTTCCGGAGAGTAACGCGTTCACCACCACACCATGCGGGTTCTTCGTTTCGCCTGTCTCTCAGCTATTTCTATCGGTCTTTTTGCCACAGCAATCACCCGTCAGCGGGATTGATCTGGGGAGCGCAAATCGGCATAGAACCCAGTTAAGCTATGGCTGTAGTTGAAATCACAATGTTTTACGTTTTGTTATGGCTTCTGATAAATAGCTGAGAGACAGGCGAAACGAAGGACCCGCATGGTGTGGTGGTGAACGCGTTACTCTCCGGAAAGGATAATAGCGCGTTCGTTTCCCACCATAGACACCTGCGGTCCAGAGTTTTGCAAATATCTCAGCAACGTTGTGGTTGTATTTCGCTTAGTAACCTGCCATGAAAATTATAGAAGGCAGAAAACAAAAAGTTAAACATTGAAGATGGGATCGTCAAAAATTCTCGCCATGATAGAGAATTAATAGCGGAAACGTTCTATACCAACCTTTCCGTTCCACGATCCTCGTCCCGGACCCTAATATCCCCGCTGGAAAAGAAACCACCTGGAATTCCTCCGTTGGAGGTTCGGGCTGCGATAGAAAGCAAGAAAAGAGGCACAGCTCTAGGACTCTATAATATTACCGCCAACCTTCTTAGAGCTGGAAGCCACAATTTACATGTACTTTCCGAAAAATCATATGACAGCCTACCTTCAAAAGGAAAAAATTCCAGACCAGTGGAGGACATCGTGCACGGTCATCCTGCCCAAGAAAGGAGACCGAAGGAATCATCGTAACTATCGTCCTCTATGCTTGTTGAGTGTACTCTACAAGCTCTTCACGAAGGTTATCCTCTCGCACATATCAAGGACATTGGATGAGGCGCAACCAGTCGAGCAAGCAAGATTTCGAAAAGGATTTTGCTGCATGGACCACATCCAAACCGTGTCCAGAGTATCGAAGTTTGTCGTGAATACCATTTGACTCTACTCCTAACCTTTGTCGACTATGAGAAAGCGTTTTACAGTGTTGAAACGATTGCATCCCTATCAGCGCTCGTAGACCAAGGAGTGGACTCGTCCTACATAAGGACTCTGTTCGACTGTTATCGAAACTGCACTACGAAAATACGGCTTTTCCACCGACCTCTTACAATACCCATAGGAAAAGGGGTTCGACAGGGCGACACAATACCGCCAAAGCTGTTCAGTGCCGCACTGCATTGGATAATGAAGTCACTCGATTGGTATGAGAAAGGCATACGTATTGATGGAAAATTCCTATCAAACCTTCGTTTTGCCGACGACATTGTCATCTTTTCAAGAAGTATTAGCGAAGCAGAGGTGATGATCAACGAGCTCAACGAAGCAGGGAAAAAGATCGGACTTCGCATAAATCGAAAGAAGACCCAATTCATGAAAAACCCATGGTACGAAGGCGAAAAAATTGAATTAGATGGTTCACTCATTGCAGAGAGGACCTCGTACGTATACCTTGGGCAATCAATTAACATGGAAAACAACATGAACGAGGAACTAGGTAAAAGAAGAAGAGCAGCTTGGGCCGCATTCGGGCCTCTCAAAAAAGCCACCGACCAACTGAAGGACCTGAAAATCCGCGCTCACCTGTTTGATTCTACGGTCCTCCCAGCGCTCTGTTATGCTGCAGAGACGTGGTTGAAGTATCAAGGATGCTTCGCACTACTCACAGAGTACTTGAGCGATATCTTCTGAAATATAACCGGCACTCTCAAATCTAGCCGGAATGCGAAGCTTTGACCTTCGAAATCTGTCACATCTTCGAGATCCAGGAGAATATACATCGACAGCGAAACATAGATAGGCCGGTCACATAATGAGAAGAACAGACGACAGATGGACGAAAAGAACAGTAGAGTGGACTCCAAGAGAATGCAAACGTCCCCTTGGACGACCTCCTACACGCTGGGCGGACGTGTTCGCGAACAAAGTTAATCAGCTGTACCCGCAGCTGCAGTTGTTTTACAGATCACGGTATAAGACTCGCAAGCACTACCATGCTCGAACAAGACCACCACTATGGACTACGATTGCGAGAAAAAGGGATTCGCACAGCTTGTGAAGACGGACCGTCCAAGTATCCAAGTAAGTAAGTATAAAAATGCACATGCTGCTTTCTGTGTGCTTAACAGACTAGGTACTTGATAATTCCAGAAGCAACAAAAAAAAGGAAGACAGAAATTGAGAGAATCTTTTCAATTTCTAAAGTTTCCGGACCGAATCCCATCATAAACGGATTTGGAGCTACATCTACGAAGTAGGCTGACCATCGATGAAAATGCCATGTTTCTGTCAGACACGTAAATCGCCCGAACGATCACTCTGCTGTAGCTCTCAGAAACACCTAAATAACCCGAACGACCACTTTACTGTCACTGAGACTACGGCATGCCATCATCACTAGCAATGTTTGCCATTAGCAGAACACCTTCTTTTTCAGCAAACGTGTTTGGAGGAAATTGGGTTTGATTAGCAAGGATTTAAGCGTCCAGCAATATCTTCTAGTTTAATTATTTATATGATCCGTCAGCACATATTTTGCAATCCTCAGCACTTCTCTATTTCGATTCATTTCTATGTACCCGTCATCTTCGAACCGCTGCTGTGTGAGAATTTTCCGTTTGGTCTCTGACAATCTCAACATACCTCTTCTAGGGCATGCTCAACTACCTCATAGGCCGTCACTGACTTCTGTGGATTGCAGAAAACGTTTTGTAGACAACTCTGATACCAATTAATCAAGGCAGAGAGGATGGAGAGCTGGATTGGTCTGGTTCATATTCCAACGAATGGGTATACTACGAGTACATCACTAACTGCCGTTTTCTCTCCACCTAGATTGCACACTGATTGTTTAAAAAAGTGTCCGTGCACTATGAAAATCATAAAACACGCACTTTCTGATCTACTTGAATTATTTTAAAGCACAATTTTCTTCTTCGCAGCGTTTCTGCTGTATATCTTCCCAGCTTGTTCACAATGATGAAATCAGTTTTCCATGAGTGACGATGCAGTGCAACAAGAAATTAAAGGAAGGGTATTGTCGCTTGTAAGGACTCGTGTGGCGCAATGGTCGGAGGCGCTCTGCAACACACACGTGGAACCGATCCTCAAAACCACGGCCCGCCATGCCCTACATCCCTTCGATTAGCAAATTGGTACCAGACTAGTCTGAGAGGACAGCAGGACTGGCTCGATACAACGATAGGTCATCGCGAGTCATTGTAAAGGCTAGATATGTAGTAAATCACCTCCAACGATGCTTAAAGAAGTCCAATGTATGTTACATTCTTTAGTGACTGACCAATGCCGAAAGCTTTATCCCTTTTTATTGTCGCTTTTCAACTGGTCACGGTAGTGGTTAGAGTGAAAGCCGTATGAAGCTTTAGCCTGGAATACTGACAACCTTACTGAGAGCGGATAAAAAATTATTGAATCAAGAATTAAAAGAAGAGCTAAAACACAGTTAGTGGAATGGTTAAAATAATAAAATAAGAGAACAAATAGGTAAATTATTAAATTTAGATATGTTAGTCGGAGAAAACAGTGCAGCAGCATGGAAAGAGCCGTGGTAATAGTCACAATGGATCTTCCAAAAGAGAATGGTTTCTGCTAAAACAAGAGAGTGAAAAGAGAACTAATGTGGTCAGAATCGAATGAATCGTTTTATTCGTCGTGCAGAATGTGAAACATCTCACAACGAGTATCAATAAATTGTATGACTAGTCATCAGACGGCTAATATACAACGTCCGAACAACGACGGAAAAATCGCGATGACAAAGACAGAACGGAAATGCGGATCACGCTGGACATCCCATGATCCCATGGGAACACCATAAACATATTTTAATATGGCCAAGCTTTTAGCGCGGCTGTGGTCGTCAGAGAAGATGAAATCTTATGACAACACGCTAGAGAAGGGAAGATTAGCAGAAGAGAATCCAAAGCACGTAAACAGTGATACATCGTGACTTTATGAAATTATCTATAAATTTTCTGGTATAGCTCACAACGAGAAGAAATCCAGAAAGATAAGGAGAGAAAACTACAACAGGCAAGGAAGAAGAAATCGGAAAGATTCGCTCGCAGTGATTACAGGCTAACGCTTATTCAAGCTCAAGGACGGAGATCTTCAAACAGTTAGTGAACCTCTTTCTTAAACTGGGATACAGACACTTACTTTGGAAAATCTTCATAGAAAATCGAGAAGATTCTAGAGTACCGAAAATCAGAAGAAATATGGAGACACATCCACTTCGATAATGGCAACGTTGTAGGCCAGAATGACGCCCGTTCGCGACTTCGTGTGGATGTGCACTCGAATCCGTTCTGTCCTCGGACCCACCAGTGGCCGTGCCAATTTCACGATTCCTGAAGGCAATGCTGCTATCGAAGAAGTGCTTTAAATTTCTTTTAGAGCAAAGTTTAATCACTCCAAGTCATTTTTTACAAGTACTTTGCTACCGTGGTTTCGTTGTGAAATGTTGTGATTCTTTTCTCTTGTTTAATTCGATACCATGAATACGAGACACAAAGCTCAAAAAATGGGAAGGAGAAGAATGGAGCAAGAAAAAAGTCTAACTAAAACTTATTTTTTATATGTTGCTGTTCTCAGCTATTTCCTTTCACCAATCAGCTTTTTGCGAAGGGATACCTTAGAGTCCGGTGTACGCGAATCGTGTACAGAAACTCCTGTGTGTCTTTGCTGTCAGCACCTCCACAACCGTAAAAACACTTTTGAGGAATGCTCACGCCAGCTGCACAACATCTATCTTCAATCGGTACTCAGAAGACACAATCAATTTGTGGAACCATTTCCTCTTCATCATCCTTCCCTCTCGTCTCCTTATGATGCATAGTTCTGCATAATCGATGCATTATGGTTACTCCTTTATCCAGTTACACCACAACCGTAAAAACACTCGCGAGGAATGGTCGGGCCAATTATAGCAAAATTTCTCTTCTAGCGATAGTAGAGGGCGCCAACAGTTTGTGAAATCACTTCTTCCTCATCTTTCCCTCTCGCGTTCCTATGATCCATAGCTTTTTAAAATTAATGCATTGAATTTACTCCTTAATTTTCACATACTTCTCATACATTGCTATCCTCACTATTTTGTTATTGCTGTAACGTCTATACATTACCGAAGTTGGAAGCTCATTCTGCCGCAACTCCAGAGATTCCCCGTGACAAATTCTCAAGAAGATTGCCTTTCATTAATTGAACGAACTAGCATAGCTACTGCATCGGCTACCTCCACATTCCACTGAACTAGATAAAACATCATTCGAACTCAAACTCAATTTTCACGGGTTACACTTCCTCCACTTTTCAAAGTGGGATATCGTTTAGGTAAGATTTGAGTATAAGTGACTAACGTCGGCGATAAACATGTCCACCAACAGTCGAAGCTGATCTCCCTGAGGATTCTCCTTGATTCGAAAACCAGAACACGGAGGTCCGGTTTGGCATTAGAATCCTTGGTAGATCAAAAGTCAGCTCAACCTGCCATGCGGTATTTAATGCGAAAAAAACTTTGCTTTTTTTTGCAAAACAACCACATTAAAGTTATCACGAACGTCCTGAAACAAATGGATGACGTCGCTACTTGATAAAAGAACACTTGTGTTGCAAACATAGATAAAGAACTAGCTTCTATGGCCTGTCGTAGACTTCTGATTTTCAGATTTCTTAAGTCTAGAAGGGTTAACCGCGCAACGGTAGGTTTGGTGGCTTCTCGTCGAACCAATTGGCATTGCAAATGATGCAACTGGTTTTCCTTCCATACAGAAGCCTCGACATACGCTGCCCAGAACCATGTGACCACAGGCATTCGCTGGATTTAATAAAAGAAAATAAAGGTTAACTGTTAACCACCTGTATCAAGTGTAACCCCGTTGATCGTCGAGTGAATCGAGCGGGCGCCAGTAAATCCTCCATTTTTCGTTGTCGCGTGCAAGAGCAGCCCAGTGGGTTCTGCTCGCTCTAGGGACACGTCAAGCATCGTATCATTCTACTAGGCCTTTCGTGAAGAACTCTGATCATCGGGTCGGTAGTCTTCCTGCAGCGCGTTTCACATCCCGAGGAATCCAGTCACTAGCGGCTCCTGTCCATCGGTTGCCGTTCATACGCATTACGTGCCCGGAGCACCTTATCTTCGACTGTTTGGCGTACAGAACAGCATCTTCGATTTTTGATCGTTGACGCAGGTCAGAGCTTCGGATCCCACTCTTACTTTAGTGAAAAGAGATACTCCAAGCATCGTCCTTTCGACTGCGCGTTCGATAACGCCGAGTGACATTTCATCCTGCTTACGCAGCGCCCAGGTTTCTGACGCATACGTTAGGGCAGAAAGTACCGTGGAGTCGAAAAGGTGGGCACGGAGTTGGGTGTTCTTTGTTCTCTTCACTACATCCTCGATGCTCTTGAAAGCTCCCAAGCCGCACGTTTCCTCCTGCTTAGATCTGGAGCTAGGTCGCTCATCATATTGATTTCCCGATCTAGATAGACATAACTGAAGCATTCGGAGATATTCGTTCCCTTAAGCGTGAATGGGGCATACGAAACCAATCCGTTCTTTATGAACATCGTTCTTGTGACAGTTAGTCGAAGACCAACGTTTCCGCAGGTTTTACCAAAGTCGTCAAGCATATGTTCCGCTTGGCAAATGTTTAGTGTTATAACGATGTCATCAGCAAAGCAAAGATGATGTAACTTCCGACCATCGATTTTCACTCCCATATTATCCCATTCCAATGTTGTCATGACGTTTCGTTCTGGAAGGTGGCGGTAAATAATTTTGGCGAGGTGGTATCGCCTTGCCTAACTCCTCTTTTAACGTCAATGTTAATATCGTTGTATAATGGTGATATCTTGGTTGTGAAATTTTTGTACAGCTCTTTTGTACAGAATTTTTATGTACTGAGTAGGGCTCCTTGACTGTCAAGAGCTTCCATGGCTGTTTCTATCTCATCTGAGTAAAATGCCTTTTTTAATCGATGAAAGTGAGATAGAGCGGTCTTTTACACTCTCGCGATCCTTCAATGAGTCTTGTTATTGTGTGGATGTAGTCCATCGTACTAAATCCTTTTCGAAACCCTACTTGCTCACATGGCTGTCCTTCGTCAAATGTTCTGTCAATCCTGTTTAGAATGAATCGAGTGAAAAGTTTGTAGACGACAGACAGGAAGCAGATTCGGCGATAGTTGCGTGTAACGTGTAGGTCACCCTTCTTGAACAATAACACGGCCCTGCTGGTCTTCCGCGGAGTAGGAACCTCGCATTCAGACAAGCAACGTGTGAAGAGACGAGCCAGTGTATTTACGAGGACTGGCGGAAGGTTTTTCAGCTGTTCTCATCTTATCCTGTCCGGACCTGATGCTGTTCGATTTTTCACCGACGAAATGGCACGACGGATTCCGAAAGGGAGAACCTGTGGTACAACATATCCATCCTCTTTTATTTCATATTATAGAAGGTGGACGTGGCAATCAAAGGTATTTGAGTAGTATTCGTGAATGATTTTCTCCATTGCCCTTCTGGACGCTGTAACTGTTCCGTCTGGGCGTCGGAGTGCAATCATCTTGATCTTGTAATTGGCGAAGCTTCAGTAGGCTTTGCGAATACTTTTCCCAGTCTCTGCAGCTTCGACCATTACTGCTGCTCTTCTCTCTTTATGATCTTTTTTCATCGCCTGTCTGCATTGTTTCGCAAGTTGGACGTCAGTTCGCGGTTGCCTGCAGCTCGTGCGATTCCACGCCAGCGTATCGCCTCGAGTGTATCTGGAGACAGACGTCGGTTGGCGACTTTCGAACTCTCAGCTTTCATAGCGCTAACGTGAAGATGTTAAATGAATGTTAAATGAGCCGATTATATTCTTCGTCGATGTTTTCGACTGCGGCTTCGCAACAGCCGACTTGAATTGAATCAGTCTCAGTTTATAGTGGTTCTAGGATCTCAGTATTTAGCGGCTTTTTGTCCTTTTCGCGAGAAATGGAATCTTGCACGAAGAAGGCGATGGTCTGATCCCGTGTAGAATTTTGAGACAACAGCGACATCGGTTAGACAAAACCTTCTATTTACTATGATGTGCTCTATAGTACTGCCTATTGGGAGATTCCCACGTCCAGCGTTGATTTTGCAGCTTCTGGAATTGTGAATTACCATGGATGGTCTTCGTTGCCATGATAAATTCAGACAGCCGCTCACCCTATTCGTTTCATTCTAACCCGTGAGTCCCAATGTGACTTTCTTCAGACGTTTTTCTTGGTCCAATCTTGGCGTTAAAATCTCGAGAGATGACTTTGAAGAATGTATGGTCTTCTCTGTAGAACTTTTCCAAGTCCATATAGAATGCTTCGACTTCTTCTTCGTCATAGTTTGATGTTCGCCCGTAAGCGATGATTGTCAAAGCCGGAATTGATCCACGTCTTTTTAATCGCAAACGTCCGATTCGGGTTGTAAGTTGTTCGAATGAATCGATGCTCATGGACAAACTCGTGTTGACGAGAACGCCGGCGCCGCCGACTCCTCTACTGTCGCATGTTCTGAGGAACAGTTCTTCTCTGGTGTCATAGACGGCGTTGAATGGGTGACGTGGTCTCGTCTCGGTCAGGCCGATGACGTCGTACCTTATCTTTCTTGCTTGCATGAGCAAGTCTTCTATCGAGGACTCGGATGCAAGTGTACATACATTGTAAATACAGATTGTCACCTTAGTTTTTCGTAATTCAGGCAGCTGCCATTGGCCCTGAGATTTTAACAGCCTTTCCGTACTCGTCCTACCCAACGCTGCAAAATTGGGGCTCTACCGGTTTCAGGAAAATGAGGCCTGTTTCCTTTACTATTTTCAGCTTTTTGATGCCTACATATAGCTATACTAAGCTGAGCTATATACTGGGCTTTGAACTTGGGGCTGGGTATACTCACAGGTACCTTGCCAGGCTCTCCTAGAGTGGACTTATTCGTTGGAGGCGACTCCTAACCGCCTCCGATGCACTTCCCACTTACTTGATTGCAGGCTTTTTGCCGAATTGACTCCTATAATACAATCTGCATAAATTAGAACGCACCCACACATGTGTGCATAAACACGCCTCGTAACTATAGAAGGTATGTGCCAAAACGGCGCAGCAGAAACAGGGAGTCCATCCCCTGGATCCATGCATGATGTTTTGTCTATATTTTCGGTGACCCATCGTTGTGCCAGACCATTGTTTTTATTCTCAAAGACACGTTTAGCACCATTATACGGATTTTAAAGGGATGGAAGACCTGGTAAACTTAGGGTGAGGCATCGAATCAGCGATGGATCCAGTGTGTATTGCAGGGCATCTCTGTTTACTGTACCACACACGCCAGCACTGCAGGTATTTGTAATG